AGCATACATACGGAGGCGGGGCGGAATCGGCTGTGCTATAGCGCCGTGCAGGGCTATAACAGCGTGCGCAGAACGCAGGGCACTGTGAACAGGGCAGCCGTGAAAAGACACCTGAGGTCCGAGCGGTCGGCGTCCGGTAACTGAATAATTTTAGATGTTCCTATGTAACTGGTGCTCTTTATCTTCTTTTAGTTCATTTTAACCTTTTAACCCTGTTTAAGTAGCTGCGTGTGAATGTTTACTCATGTCTTATTTTGTGACGTGCGGAAGTGAAAAGCCACACTTTTGAGTGGACCTTTTGTGAATAAATATCTATCTATCTATCTATCTTATAACCAGGGACCGGCAAGGTCTCTCAGGTCCGTTTTTGACAAAGCTGTTATTGATGTCATATGCGAGCCCTTTGCCACCAGCAGAGGGCCCTTTCAAGCCTTTTTTAGGGCCGTTTAACGTCTCTTGAGTTTCCTTTGAGGCTAAGGGCCTCTTCAGCAGCCGAGGGGTCTTTGAGGCCTTTTTGAGGGCCTCTTAACGTCAGCTGAGGACCGTTGGACGCCATCTGAGGACCGTTTGGGGCCTTCTGATGGCCAGTAGATGCCAACTGAGGGCTCTCTGACACCAGCTGAGGGCACGCTGACACCAACTGGGGGCCTCCTGACACCAGCTAAGGGCGCTTTTATATTTGACACGAGCTCAGGGCCCTTTGACGCCCTTTGAGACCTTCTGAGGTCCGTTTGACGCCAGCAGAGGACCCTTTGGGGTCATATTAGGGCCCTTTGCTGCCTTTTAAGCGGCCTTTGAGGCTTTTTGAGGGCCGCTTGACGCCACCTGAGGACCGTTGCGGTTTGACTCCAGTTACGGACCGTTTGAGGCCTTCTGATGGCCATTTTGCGCCAACTGAGGGCCGGGGGGCCCTCTGACACTAGCTGGGGGCCCTCTGACACCAGATAAGGGCCCTTTAAGGCCTTCTGAAGTCCGGTTAACGCTAGCGGAGGGCCTTTTGAGGCCAAATGAGGGCCCTTTGAGACCTTATAAGGGCTCCTTGAGGCTTTTGAGGGCCGCGTGACGGCATCTGAGGACCGTTGTACTCCAGCTGACGACCGTTTGAGGCCTTCAGATGGACTTTTGGCGCCAGCTGAGGAGGGCTCACTGACACCAGCTGGGGGCCCTCTGACACAAGCTAAGGTCTCTTTAAGGCCTTCGGAGGGTCGTTTGACGCGAGCTCAGGGCCCTCTGACGCAGGTTTAGGGCCCTTTGACGCCCTTTAAGGTCTTCTGAGGTAGGTTTAACGTTGGCTGAGAGCCCTTTGAACCCATCTGAGGGCCCTTTGAGGCCATCTTGTGGCCCTTCGTTTGGCCATCTGAGGGCCCTTTGACACCAGATGAGGGCCATTTGACGCTAACCGAGGGCCCTTCGAGACCATCTGAGGACCCGGTGACCCCATCTGTGGGCCCTTTGAGGTCTTTTGAGGGCCATTGAAATTTCACCACAATACCCCTGGCTGCGCTACTGGGCATTTATGGACTCGTATGGGCCTGCTGGGGAACGAGATGGGCCCTCCCGGTCTTTTTAATCATCATTTCAGTTCATTTTACATGGTCTTCGGCGGTCTAAAGATTAGGGGCCCCAACTCGAATGGGGGGAGGCCCGTGTGCCCTCTCCTGTGTGCGGCCTTGCCGACACTACACCGCTTCCCCTCCCTCCGCCATAAACGCACCGCTGCACTGTTAAGCGCCGACAAATACGGTCCGTATTTGTTCCCCCGCGGCCTGCCTCGCGTTGACATAGCCCTTCCCGAACACCAGTGTAACCCCCACGCGGCCTAGGTATCGCCGCGCCCACCTGTCCGCGGCGCGGCCTCTGATGGCGTATCGGATCATTGATGGTGCGATACATGTTTTGGTCAGATTTTCGCAATTAACGCGAAAAATTGCCCAAAACACTTTTTAAATTTCAAAATTAAAAAAAAAAATAATTACAAAAAGGACGTGAAAGTGACCGTTTTCAACGTGTAAATTTAAAACGCTCTAGCGCAGCCATTTTTGAAGAAATCGACTTCAAATTTTGCACACGTGTTCATCAACCATATTTGTTTAACATATATTTCGGTTTTGTGAAAATTTTGAAAATTTCTTATATTTTTCTCTTGAGAAAGAGGTAAAGCTTCGCTACGATCGGCCTTCCGATCGACCGAGAAGATTCGTAAAGTTAGTTCGTATCTTCACCATTTGCGATACAACTTGCGTATCTACTTAGCCTACGATGTGATGGATCCCTCCAATATCTGTTCCGATTCAACTTACGTTTGATCGCAACTGCGAGGTGCCTTGCGATCACATGGATCCCTCCAGCTGAGGCTCTTATGGCTCGTACTAAAATCGTTACTGAGGACAGCGCCATTCTTATGTTAAGTATATAAAATCCCTTTAGTGTTTTTTTCATTCATTCATTCATTCATTCATTCATTCATTCCGGTTCCCACCGGTGGTATATTTTGAACAGGTACAAAGAAAGCGAGTGAGAGCAGCCCATGGAACAGAAAACAGATGGCGTACATGGCAGTTCTAATAGATAGATGGCGCTGCTCGTGGAAGGAGGTTGGATTTAGGATATGTACATGCTAGTATTGTTAGAGTGGTCAGTCAGTGTTAGTAGTTAAGTAGGTTGTAGGTAAGAGCAGCGCCATTGCCATTAGATTCACACAGTGCATACAGTGAATGCAGCTGAGGAGAAATCACACATCCCCCTCACGCCACCACCGGGGCAGTGTGATCGCCCAAACGACTGTCCCCACTGCTCACCATCGGCGGCCCACCTGGCCAGGCCGGGACGGTGCCGTCCACGGCCCTGGGGAGAGCTGGGGGATGCTTCCCCAGCCGGGGAGATCTGATGGCTACCTCCCCGGCGCTCCAGGCGGGCCGCCAGCCCCCGCCCGCACCGCCCGGCAAGCAACCCCGGACGGTGCCCCCTAACCACCGACCGGGCGAGCGAAGCGTCGACCCGTCTAGGTAGGCGCTCCGCACGCCCGGCCGGCCGACCGGCCCCTCACAGGAGGGGCCAGTCCCGGGTTGGCCCGGATGGGTCATAGGGGCGGGGGCTTGGGCTTGTTTCGCGCACATCGAGGCAAGGCGCCCAGTCCGGCATTCAGGCGGCAGCATCACCGGCGCTTGAGGCGGGGCCGGCAGCATCCACGACCAGTGGAGCGTCAATTCAGAGTCATTTCAGAGCGTCAATTCAGATTCAGGGTCATCATCTGCAGCGGCCGACGTGGCATCCCACCGGCGTCGGCAGGGTCCGAGGTCAGCGGAGGTCGAGGTTAGGCCACTCGCAGAGCGACTCGCGCCGTAAGCAACGAGAGCCCAGATTGCAGCATCCTGGTGACTGTGACGGGCGACTGAGACGGACGCTGGTGGCTTGCTGAGAATCAAGTCGGAGGTAGGTATGGCACGAGTCTGATCGGCGGTGGATCAGAGCCGGATCTGCAGCGGCCGACGTGGCGTCCCACCGGTGTCGGCAGGGACCGAGGTCAGTGGAGGTCGAGGTTAGGCCACTCGCAGTGCGACTCTCGCCGACAGCAACGAGGGCCCAGATGGCAGCATTCTGGCGACTGAGATGGACGTCGGCAGCTTGCCGCGAGTCACATCGGAGGTAGTTATGGCACGAGTCCAGCACGAGTCCAATCATCGGCGGACCACAGACGGATCGGCAGCGGCCGACGTCGGCGTCCCATCCGGCGCCGGCAGGGCGGATGGGACGCCGTTTTCTATCGTATCGTATGAAATAAAAACGGACATCAAATATTACCATTGAGGCCAACTCATCTGGAAAAATTGTAAGCAATTTTACAAAAAAAGGCATATAGTTAGCATCAACACGTTTCAACTTGAAGGCATTCAAAAGAAGTTGAAAGAGAAAGATATTAAATATTCAAATGGGCTGATTGTGGTGTTGCGTAATAATGCAAGAATCAACCCTTTGCCTATATTGAGCATTATAACTCACAGGTTTTCGCAGAGTCATACCCGTGTGTATCAACTTGCGGCATGTAATTTTTATTTGCATCCAAAGCTATATGTATAAGCTATAAGCTATGTGGTGCTATAAGCTATAGCACCACATTTGACGCGCAAAAATCGTAGAAAAATCGTTAATTATCTAAAGAGGCTCGCATCGTTTAAACAAGCTTATTTTGCCTAAGTTCAATTAACATGTCATGTCGACGACCGTCCCCATCACGCGTTCGGCCGTCTGCCCCCCGTGACCGGTGTCGCTACTGAACGTGAGCGATTGTCTGTGAGGGCCCAGTGGTCACTGGGTCGATAGCCAATCCACCGTGAAATGGACGGGGGAGCTTCAATTCCATTGCTTTGAGAACTGGACGACTCATGAGGCTGGTTTGCAGTTGCTTTTGTTTGATAGAAATTAGTTTGCCGTTAGTCGTTTATTATTCTTCGTCGGAAAATGGTAGCGTTTAAATAAATAAAGTCGTTTACGTCGTTCGTTTAAACAATGATTGTATATCGTTTCAAGATGCTGCTGGTTGTGGCCTTCAAAGAAGAAAGGGGGCAGGCGGGGGGGGGGAGGGCAATCCAGCCCTGCTGGGCCACATACCTACTCGTGTTTGGTACTTGTGAGCAATCTGACAGGACTACTGAAAAGATCCATGATGTATCAAATGATCGTTGCTAGGCCATTTTCAGGGGACATCTAACAAAACCCGAACAAATTAGATACAGGTTCATTCACCCAGCTTCCATTGTTTTCACAGGGGAAATGTTAGCTCCTCAGAAATGAATTCTATCCGAGCTGCAAGCCATACCTTTCCCTGCAGTCCATAAATAGATTCAAGGGCATGTAGCTTCACGAGTAAGAGAAACTTCGCTCTGCAAAATACATGAATTCTTGGGAGCAAAAATTGATAAGGAAAATAATAGCAAAGCAGCTCAAAAAGCTTCCAAAAAAACGAGTTATGAAAAGATCGCCCCAATCCAAACCCCACCCACCTGAGAAGGGAGGCTCTAGTGACGTTGATCCGGGCGCCGTCCTTGAACCATTGCACCTCTGCACCTTCTGAGCCGCGTACTGTGCAGGTGAGTTGGGCGCGCGAGCCGACCGTCTGAGGCCGGCCGTGGTCGTCCAGAGATAGACTCTGCAAGTGGTAGGAAAGGTAAATTAGAGGTGTGACTACCGACAGAGTCGAAAGACGATTCAAACAATAGTCACTCAAGCGAAACTCACCCGCTTCAATCGTATAAGATTATACTAAAGCCCATGCAAAGTGACTGACGACGGGATAGGAAAACAAACGCATGAAAAAAGCGTAAAAACCGTGAATTGTCCTTCAAAGTAAAAGTAAATGGCCAATTATTCATCAACTGTTCCAATACATTATAGCGCGTCCTTGAGACAATGATGGCCTCGCAGTGACCAGTGACACTCACCGTGATGGCCAGTTCGGGCTCCGAGGAGAAGGCGAACTGCAGCGGTCTGACGCCGACGGCGCCGATCCTGGCCTGACTGACTCCGTCGGAAAACCAGCGGTACAGCGCTGTTTCGTCCGAGCCGAGAGCCGTGAACAGCAGCAGCAGCCGCCGCGGAGCGCTGGCATCCTGCGAACTGCGCCAGGGGAAAGGTACATACTGGTCAGAAAGTGTGGTATCGGCCCAGTCATTTGCACAGGCAAGGAAGGGAAGCGGGCAATAGGGTCAGCGGTCTATTGGTACTAAATCAATCAGAGATCTGGGAGAAACAGCCAAAGGGAGCGATCAGCAGACCCCCAGGAGTAGTTCGATAAAGACAGCTGCGGGAAGTAAACACGAGGCCAATGGAGCTTATCAGCGATAATTGCGGGCAGACAAAAACTCAGCAATGAACACGCTGAAACAGACGATACCAGATGCACAGAGGAACAACACGGTCAGACAGCTCACCTGTTATCAAATTCAGCTACACGAAGTGGTCCTGCCTGGCTGTATATCGAGTGGTTAAATCCTAGCCTCGTCTCGATCTGCAAAATAGTCAAAACCAAGAAATAAAGGCAGCTAAAACGACTCGCAACAGGGTGCAGTTTAAAAAGGTACCAAGGTAAGCTTAATATGAGGAAGCCGGCATAGCTGCAAAACGCAAATAGTTATCTTAAATCCATGCCCTGAGAACTGTCAAGAACAAGGAAGACAAATCGATCACGCTTGAGATCATCCAGGAAAAAAGATACTAACATTTATCTAATACGGCATCATGCAATTAGCATTACAATGTGATTTATAATTAGCATTGAATTATCGTTGTAAAGCGCCCCCCCCCAAAAAAAACTCATATTTTTGTTTTGCCTTTTTGACGTTTTTAATACTCACGTTTGAGCTGTTGAGCTCGATGTCCGTATCAGTGACTGTGAGTTCGATCGTGTACCTCCGCAGGTCTAAAACAGAGATGAAACAATAGGTATTTATAGTCACCGTGACAGTAGGTATTTCACCCGTCACTTAACCACTTCATAGCATGTGAATGCGCAATGTGCATCGTACATCAAATTATGTATAGCCATACGCCAACAACGCGGGAGTAAGGTAGCTGACCGGTAGGTATTTAAAGGGACTATCCCACCTTTAACATGGGGTTTGAGTTGAGATAGCCAAGTTTGCGGCGAGGTTTGTTCAGAAACCACTATCTAACTAGGTTGCAGCCCCCGCGGCCTCTTGGTGTTGAAGAAATTCGTTCCCTTCATTTGAAAATGGGCCTTGTGCAAGGCCCTATCTTCAACATTAGCGACCGTTAGTGTGACGTCACCTCGTTTAGTCATTCTGATTTAAATGGGTTTGTTCTTTGAAAAATCGCTTAAAACTTGGTCTGAACTTTGTTGTGGTGCCTACAGAGTAAAAAGAATCAGCTTTATGACAGTAATGTGGCCTGGGGAAGGAGGTAATTTTGGGCTGTGACGTCACATATTTGAAAGTTTGTGTTTGGAATATGGGAAGCCTAAGATGTTTAATGAAAAATAAATGCCAGAACCGTGTTCCTGGTCATCCAATCTATAAAGTCGGGCACAATTTAACTGGTTTTAACAACATTTTAGAAGGTGGGATAGTCCCTTTAACGGTCGGGATGATTGTGAAACTGTCTTCAGATATTCTGGGAAGTAAAACACAGAAATAGGTGCATAAAAGCCGTTTTCACGACGGTCATCTGGTACACATTTGGTGCACATCTGGTGGAGATTAGATGCAGATTTAGTCAAATTAGGTTCAGTGTGTCGCTTAGTAGCTATCAGCTAGGGTTGCACTAATTGCTTATATGCCTGCGTTGTCATATTATTTATCAATTATCATCGATTAAAACACTGAAAGAAATTCATAAAATAAAGATATTTGCTGTAAAAGAGATTAGGTGCAGATTTGGTGAAATTAGGTGAACTCGCCGGATGGCCCGTCGTGAAAACGGCTATTTCCGACCCAATGAATCGGGAGTTAATGGTATGCCTTGGAAAAATTAGCTGGACCATACTCAGCACATATAAAAACTCAGGGTGGGATTCAAAGTAAACATAACAGCCTAATAGAGCGTTCGTTTTCTCTTTGACGCAAATAAGATATACCTATCTGAAACTTTATTATTATTATACCTAAGTCATACCTTACATGATTAGTTGGGGCATTCCACGATAGATCGACCAAAAATAAATAAAATTTACACCCTCATATTTTATTCTTTGCTTAAAATTGGTCTAATGGGTTGTGATGGGCGGGGAACCCAGCTGTGGCAAGGATTTTTTTCTTCGAACAACGGTTTCCGAGATATAGCCTCGGGCAGTTCCTGGAGGTCACGCTACAACCCTATGTTTGGCGGCTTATAACTCAGAAACTATTGGTTTTCTATGGTAAAAACTTTATATGGTTCAACTTGCAATCAACCAACGAACGTTTTGGCTATCTCGGATTTTCGATTTTTGAAAATTTTGATGACGTGACATCTTGACCTTTTTTTCGAAGAGTGACCTTGATATTTTCCCAACTGAAAGTCGCAATTTTGTCTGATGACGATTTAAGCCTTATCAATTGTCATTCATATGCGATAATAAAAAAGTGGCTTTCGGCCTGCGTTGACCTCAGGTCAGGTCATTTTTATGACCTTCCCATTATTACGAGCGGGAGCGACAGCAAGATCTCGAGAACAAAGCAAGATAGCGACAAGTGGTAAACGGCACAAGGTACACATGGATAAGGTCTACAATTTTTACTTAGGTCATTTTCAGGTCAGGTCAAAGATGACGTCACAGGGGTAAAAAGAAAGTCTAAATGGCGGCACTACATATATATGAAGTTTTTCTCGAATAACTTTCAAAGTATCCCAGCTAGGAACAAACTAATAGCACCATCGTGATCCTCTCGTCGATCCGCATCGAAACATGTGTATGTTGACCTCGAAAGGTCAAGGTCAAAAGTTGACCTTAGGTCACGTGACCTTGAGGTCATCATATATATCATTCGATGGGCCTTGACGAGCTGAACACAATGAGCCTATCCGCGCGGCTGTATCTCAAACCTGTAAGGAGTTATTAGGAAAAAACATTTGGTGACCTTTAATGACGTCACATGACCCAAGAGCAACGTCACAGTTGACCAAGAGCAAAAAAGGTCTCAAGGTAGTCAAAGTTAGTCGTATATGAAGTCACTCATGGTATATTAGGCAATTCCGACGCGTTTTAGTGTAAAAACAAGGGAGCTGACTTTTCCCCAATTGACTTATAATGGGGTGGTCAAGAAAATGACCTGACCTTAGGTCATCGGTATTGAAATTCAAAACGAACTGGCGCTAGGCGAAAGCAAACACAATGGTGCCTGTTCCACGTCTCTTTCTTTATTAGATCAAAAGGTACAGCTAAAACTATTTTGACTTCCTTTTTACCCCTGTGACGTCATCTTTGACCTGACCTGAAAATGACCTCAGTAAAAATTGTAGACCTTATCCGTGTGAATCCTGTACCGTTTACTGCTTGTCGCTATCTTGCTTTATTCTCGAGATCTCGCTGTCGCTCCCTCTCGTTATAATGGACAGGTCATAAAAATGACCTGACCTGAGGTCAACGCAGGGCGATAGCCACTTTTTTTATTTTCGCATAAGAATGACAATTGATAAGGCTTTAATCGTCATCAGACATAATTGCGACTTTCAGTTGGGAAAATATCAAGGTCACTCTTCGAAAAAAAGGTCAAGATGTCACGTGATCAAAATTTTCAAAAATCGAAAATCCGAGATAGCCAAAACGTTTGTTGGTTAATTGCGAGTTGAACCATATAAAGTTTTTACCATAGAAAACCAATAGTTTCTGAGTTATAAGCCGCCAAACATAGGGCTGCAGCGTGACCTCCAGGAATTGCCTGAGGCTATATCTCGGAAACCGTTGTTCGAAGAAAAAAATCCTTGGCACAGCTGGCTTCCCCGCCCATCACAACCCATTAGACCAATTTTAAGCAAAAAATAAAATATGAGGGTGTACGGCTTTGGTCGATCTATCGTGGAATGCCCCAGTTGTCTTTGTTAACCCGCGAGTTGCTGGGGGGGGGGGGTGTTAAACGCCCCCACTTTTTTCACCGGGCCATAGCATAAAAACGGCGCGCCGCAGGCGCGCCAAATTTTGGGTACCTGTAGGGAATTGATTGAACTTTATTGTGACAAAGTTTAAAAAAAAATCGGTCGGAAAATTTTTGAGATATCGAGGTTTTAGTGACGTCATGATTTCTGAGTTTTCGACCAAAAACGGCATATGTTCAAAAAATCATATAAAATCACAAAATAGACATACAGACATACCGTAAACGCCATTAGACTGCCAATAGCATGATGAATCAAATGGCTATCTTCGATTATTGATTATCGTTCATCATTTTCCATAATCTTGAACTGAATCTTGGCAATTTTTCGTGACTACTTCACGACCATGATACATGAATTTCTTAAATTGAACTTTTTGAGCCAAACACGTACACATATGATAAAACGAATGTCACCATCGTGTTCTACGCCCCAAATTACCTATAAAACATGTGTCACAGGCTGCGAATATCAGTTTTGATTTTCGGGGAAATGTGCCTACCCGGTTGACCTGACCTTGACCCTGACCTATGCTTGACTGACCCCTACATGGAGCTGAAACTCTTGTAGGCCTTATAAGATGGATTGTGCACCGTTTTCACAGAGTTTATGGCGAGAGGCGCCCATTGCGAAGTCCTGAAGTCCATGCTACTGAAAGCCCGATTTCAGGTGTTTGACCTGACCTTGACCCGACCTGTGACCTCAAAATTCAACTTTAAAGTACTCATCTGAAGCGTCTCGTCGCGCTCTTTCGTTTGCCGCCTCGTGCGTTTCGCTGCGCCTATTGGTTCTCGAGTTATCGGCTGGGGGCGTTTAACGCCCCCCCCCCCCAGCAAACGGTGGGTGGCGTGGTCTGAAAACATCGTTACCCGCGCCCCACTGGGGTCTGCGTATAACACGCCCTACTGGGGGGGGGGGGCTATTCATAGCCCCCCCCCTCCTAACTCCGAAACAACTGGGCCGATCGTTAAAATTCAAACACCGTCTGATAGCCCCGGAAAAACTGTCGAGCGAAACCTAATTTTATTGACCTCGAGGTCACTGATGACGTCACAGGTCAGGTCAAAGCTAAAATTATTAGCATTTTGGCTTCTTCACGTTTTGGGCTCTGGCCGCCGTCTTACAAGTCAGATCAGGCTCATTTTTGGTTCACACACTCGTGAACAGATGCTCTAGATACTCTGAGGGTACCAAACTTGTACTTTGTTTTTCAGGTCAAGGTCAGGTCATCACAGGTCACGAAAATATTATATCATCCGTCGGTCACGTGACACATGTTTTATGGTCCATTTAGGCCAAACATTTCGAATTTGATGTCGTCTGTGTCATGCGAGGTCATTTTGAGTCAAATTTAGCTTAGGTCAGGTCACTTTCAGGTCAAAAAAGGTCAAATTTTGAAGTTAAAATTTTTCAACAAAAAAGGTGTCTATTCGATGCAGTTTGAGCTCAGGAACACGATGGTGCTATTTATATTGGCGTACGATGTCAAATTCGTGCTGAAAAATTGATTTGAAAACTTAATAATTGTTAATTTTTTGCAATAATGCGTATAACTTGGCCATTTTTGAAGATATTTAGCTAAAACTTGCTAGAGGTAGTCATAATAATGCGTTCTATCACATATATTCCGGTTTTTTCGAAAAGTCAAAAACTTTTTGAAAAAAAATTGTAAAAATATAAATTTTGAATTTTATTATTTAAAATTTTCGAAATTTTCAAAATTTCGAAAATCCAAGATAGCAGTTTGATAGCGCAGTCTATTCTGAGTAGTCCTCTCATGCAAAGAAATTGGATCTAGCTTAAAAACTGAGCTCTTGGGAGCGATTGCCGTGGTTCAATGTTTTGCGTCGAAATCGGCCGAACATGACGTCACTCTGACGTCATTTCCGGCCGACCTATGGTAGGTACGAAGTTCAAATTTTGACACAAGGTGTCAAATTGATGCAGCCGAAGGTACTGAAAGTTTGGCGTTGATACGTCAAGCGGTTTGGAAGTTAATGCAGAAAAACGGGAGGGGGGGGCTATAAATAGCCCCCCCAGTGGGGCGCGGGTTAAATGACTGAAGTGTGGTCATATATCTCAAAATACTTTAACGCTAAAATATTGCTTTGAATACCCAAATATATATACGTGCAATCACTTCCCAACCTTCACATGCTTCCAAGACAAAAGAACCTTGAACAATATGTAGACCACAGTCAGTTATCATGCAAAGACATGCCACTATCTGAAGAACCCCTTATCCCACGTGCAGATTCTATGACGAACTCATGACTGTGATGTGATGCATGTATATTGTACATTAGCGTCGCCACGGGGGGGGGGGGCAAGCGGGGCAGCTTGCCCCCCCAAACCTCGGACCGGGCACCCCCTGAGATAGATACAGATCCGATGAGATTTTGGAGTCGGGAAAAAATGGGGGTACCTTTCTGAGAATGCCTGTGAGGTCAGACTCGGTTGGAGCGTGCAGTTCAAACCAGAGTCTGACTCGCAGTCGCCAAAATCTTCAAGACTCCGAGTCCAGACTCGGAAATGTCAATGCTGCGATCCATTCCATGTTCCTAGTTCGTTCTTTATTACATTTTACAGTTTATTTTCATAAGCTTTGGAGTGCTGACACAATTTTCGTTCAAAGCGTGAAACGAAATCTTAGGGGCATTTCTCAACTCTCGTCAAATGTCTGCGACAGGCTCAAGTACCGTACAAGTGTCGCAGGGCTCATGAGCTTGCTTTAAACAAAGGCTCCTAAGGAGCTCCACTGAGCCCTAAAGAAGCTTTCAGAGGGCCCAAACCGGCCTCTGAAAGTTCCACTGGTGTCCATGTTCTCTGAGGGCCCATGCAGGGATCTTCGAGCCTTCGAAGTTCGAACATTTCTGAGAACCTTAACTGGCCTCTGATAGTTCAGTCAAACTTTGGAGGCGACAGACCTTGCTAACCCCAAGCCGGCATCTGAGGGGTCACAGCTCACGTGTCCCTCTGAGGTCCGCAACACCATGTTTATTATGTCCCTACGTAGGGTCCTTAGGGATTCGACACAGACCCCGAGGGTTCACACTGTTATCCGAGGGCTCCAGGCTCACCCTGGGCCTAGTCTCTTAGCGCCCGCCGCCCACACTGGCTTCTGAGGGCCCCACCTTGGGCTCGGAAAGCCCTAAAGCACCACATACACGTAAATATTTGAGGTGACCCACGCCGATCTCCGGGACCCTAAGCATGCTTCTGAGAGTCAGCACTGACCCTTAGTGGCCTGAAATGGCCTGGAAGTCCCAAACCTATCTCTGATGGATCCCTTGCCGCTATGCCGTGCGTAACTTTTGGTTCCGTTTAACAGTTTTTGTGCACGTTTGCAGCGCTTCCCTTCACACGAAAAACGAGAAACTTTTGTTCACACTCGAGTGAACAAAACACTTCCTCTCACTAGAGCAAAGATGAATTAGGTACTTCCGATTCACACTTCCGACATTCACTCTCCGCCGAATGCCCAACTTAGCTACGATCGGCGGCTGGGATAAGTCCTATGCATTTCACGTAAAACCTCTGCATGCATGCGTGAATGGAGGATTTAGCAGGGTGATCCGATTAAATGGAGCGTTTTTCACCTTTTTCTGAGTAATGATCATTAGAGTCGAGCGTCCGCACAGGGGCCCTCTGCAGTGCGTCGGCAATCGCAGCCACTATATACTAGTTATAATTCTACCAGTCGTTTTTGTCATGGAATTTCAAAATTTCGAATTTTTCTGTAAAAATTACATGTCATAGCTAGAAGGAAACCTTTGTCACCATCGGATTCCTCGTACCATTGCGCGTCGAATGATATGTAAAACGAGTGAGTAAAGACTGGGGAAAGGCAAGTTTTAACACAAAAGTTGATTTTGCCCCCCCCCCCAACCGAAAATCTCTGGCGACGCCTATGATATTGTATGTGAGTAACAAACGTAAACTTTTGTACGGTGAAAGGACATATTCTGAGAAAAGAAAAGAAAACAAAGAACAAAGCGATTGCTCCCTGTCGGCAACTTTAATCAGCAAGATACGGTAGCTCTAAGGTCGAGAGCGACCTTCATGGAGCACGGGGCTCAAGAACTTTACTCTGCTACAGGCCAGCTGCTTTTTCAGAGACAGACTGCAACACTTCTCGGTGAAGTGGAAACGGGCCAACTATAGTAGGTAACATTTTACCGGCTTGAATCCCAATGAACATAGTTTGCAGAGCAAAATGCCTTCAAACTAGCTACGTCAGAACTGAAGATGGGCCCTGAAAGTACGCTGCACTGGTGCAGTGTTTTAAGGCCGCCCCACACTGGACCTCGCATGCGGGTTGCGGGTTTTTAGATTTTCTGGTTTCTTTAAAAGCAAATAATACAATCTAAGCTGAGTGACCCACACTACCACGTAACAAGCGAGTCTGCGAGTCTGCACGGCACAGTGTTCAGGGACCCCGGGAGCACACCTTTAGACCCAGAGCACGAGTCAAAGCGGAAACTCTATACGGCACAGTGTTCAGGGACCCCGGGAGCACACCTCTCAACCCGGAGCACGAGTCATTGGCCAGCTGTGGCACTCCCGGCTGGCAGAAGCACCTGTATTCCGTCCCTCCGCCGCCGTCTGCCAGGCAGCCGACGGCGCAGTGCAGGCCGTGGAGCCCCAGACAGTCTGCAACAGAACAGCGCCCCGTGCCGCCGGCTGCCGTCAGAAGCCCGGCGCGCCGTGCAAGGTAGTGCCGGTCGCACAGGCACCGCGAGCAGCCCCGAGCGGCCTCAAGCAGTATGACGCGGTTTCGGGCAGAACTCGTGATGCAAGACGTTATACAAACAAGAGCAATAAACCACACATGCTCGACTAATGCACGCTTTGTTATGCATAAATAGCCCGTAAAAAATGCCCTAAATTACATATCATGTTATCCTTAGGTGAATGTAATCTACTCACTTCCTTAGAATTGTGATTATATAGTAGGTACCTAAGCTGTAAATACCGCGGGCACAATTTCGGAAACGTACATGCCTTTGTCTCTAAAAGCCTTGAGCCCGTTGTTATTTTGATTTTAAGCAGGAATAGTAACTAGAAAACAGGAAAAGGGCAAAAAGTGCTTGTGGATCCGGCTATTGGTATCAACTGAGGTATTCAACAGCACCGTGTTTGTATGTGGCCAATTGGTCGATTGGAAGTTACATTTTCCGTAAGTACGGCGGTTTTGTTGGCATTGGAAAAGCATGCCTTCTATAAGATGTTAATGATATTAAGAGGGCATATCTCATGTCCTTTAAATTATACTGGATTGGCCCAGTGTAATTTAACATAATTTGACATTCAAAAATGCGCTTTTACAAAATCCCCGTATAGCTAATCTTAAGTTGCAAGTGGAGTTCGAAGTAAATGCCATTACCTATGCACGGGTCGACAGCCTTCCAAAGAACATGCAAAGATTGGTTAGTGATGATGCAATACCAGTTCCGTGTTAGGCACCCATACTTCTTTGCTTCTTTGAATTACCCAAGAAACATAAGGAACTAACTCCAAATACAAGCGTATATAGTCAGCAAACGCATATTCTTTGTTTGCGGCCGATGCTCGATACAAATCTGTTTGCATACGATTTTCTTACCCGCGTAAGAAGAAACGCTAAAAGAAATTGTTATGTCCTTGAAATAAAAAACTCGCGCAAGATTTTATCTATGGTTAATAAATTCGCTTAACAACCCTAGAACCCAACACGTGTCCCATGTTCCATACGGCTCATACCTACTGCATTACCGAGCATTTTCATCGCATGAACTCAAGCATCAACTTTGGCAACACCTGGCCAGCGGTCACCCTTCCGAGGTTAGCATGACTTACAGTTGGGTTCCACTATAACCCCCTCCAGCTTCAGGTGGCACCGAGCGCCGTGGTACGGGATCGGACACTTGCACTCGGCCACGTCTCTTCGCTGCCTGTCAGAGACGACACATACGCAGAGACACAGTGAATCACATGGGGCATAAACATAGACGCAGTTATATGATTTACTGTCACCTATATCGGACTGTGAATGACGCTCACACGGGTATAACTATAGTCTGAGCTGCGCATGCACTGGCTCTTTGGCCTGTCCTTTCGGTGGGAGTGCAGGCTGACGATATTCCCATAAGTTCTGTGAGTTCCATGATGAGTGCACGTCTGACATTGTTCTCATGAGTTTCCGGAGTTCCATGAGTGCACGTCTGGCATTGCTCCCACCCATGAGTTCCCCGAGTTCCATAAGTGCACGGCTGAAGACGTTGATGCTGCTAACCTGCACGTGCCGTTGTTCTGGCAGGGGTTGACGTTGTTCTTTGGGTCACAGAGCGGGCCGTACTGACAAGAGTCACCGTAGAAGCCGGGCTGGCACTGACAGTAGAAGCGTCTGAGAAAAAAAAAACAAATACATTAGTTACAGGCCAGGACCAGACATAAGCACGGTCCAAGAAACTTAGAAAATGATTTTGGTTCTGGGATGTTATCCGACCGACGTTAATCTCGGATCCGGTGGGAGCGTAGGACGCTGGATAAAAAACAATAATAACGGCACTACATGGTCAAACTCAGAGTGGCTCCAGTGTCATTCCGTTGCGACCTCAGCAGTTCTGAGCCGAGACGATCAGCTGATGGCGCATGTCCATGTGACAGAGTACAGCGCTGCCCCGGCACGGTCGGACGCCGCTCATGACGGAATCCAGACCGGCTTCCGGAGACGGCGTGACGTCATCAGCTGGGTGTGCCCAAAATATGGACTTTACGCTCAGCGCCCCACACACGGCTGCGAGGTCAGTGGGGTAAGTTTCACATGGAATTATAGAAAATATGAACAGCCGTTTTGATTTAGCGGCATAATTTATCTTCAAAAGATAGCTTTACTTATTAACCATAAAGAAAACAACTGTTGTCGATTACGCAAAAGCATAGAAACTTCCTGTTTGATTCGCTTTCATAATCTTCATCATTTGGTAACCAGTGCCAGGCTCAATATGCATATTCCCTCTCCCCCCCCCACACACACACATATCGCCTTCCTTACGGCGCTAATTCACGATGGCAGGGCCCACCTTACGGGCTAATGTACGGCGGCACAGCCTACCTTATGGCGCCAGTGTAAGGCGGTACAGCCTATCTTACGGCGCTAATGTACAGAGGTACCAGTACTGCGGAGTCGATGGATTTTCGGTGAATCTGACTCCGATTTCGACTTGCAATAACCGACTCGAAATCCGACTCCGACTCCTACCGATTTCCACTCCGCAGCCCTGACACGTCGGCGGAGTCGATACACGTTCGGTGACTCCGACTCCGAATCCCACTCAGGCTTCCAAAAATCGACTCAGACTCCGACTCCGGCAGCAAAACTGTAGACTCCAACCGACTCCGCAGCCCCGGGCGGTCGGTACAGCCCACCTTGCAGGCGGTAACGTCTACCACAACGCTAGTGTACTGCGGTACAGTCTACCGTACGGCGCTAACGCACGGCGCTGATGCATAGCGGTGCACTCTTCCTTACGGTGCTAATGTACGGCGGTACATCCGCACCTTACGGCGCTTATGTACGGCGGTAAAACCTTACCGCGCTGCTGAATATGCACAGCGGTACAGCCTACCTTACGGCGCTGATGCACGGCGGTACGGTCGTACAGACAGCGGCAGTATCTGTTTAAGAATGACTAGGACACGGCCTGATCCAACCAAAAGTCGGGTCGTTTGGTTATGAGATGGGTTGCGGAAGTTACAGTGATTACTCATTTACTAGTCATTTGCTAGTGAGCTGGTGAAGAATGTTCTTAATCCATAAAAATTACACTCGACCCTGCAGTCACGTCAAACTGCACTTTTATATAATTATCTTATGATATGCTTATGAAAATAGGCACTGCGCTCCTTAACGTTTATCAGGATGGTTGATAAAATTATCGCAATGTATGTATGCAACACCTGAGTGGTGCGTGCATTTTCCCGCCAATTTGATGACATTTGATGGCCTCACAGTCATTCGAATTAATCTGATTGACGATGGGAGAACCACGCCACATGTTGAACGTTATTATCCCCGACCCACTGCATATGTCCGTTCCACTCCGGTAGAGCCGGGCTGAACAACCCACTATCATAGCATTCTTGAAAGGAAAAAGGTAAGTATTCGCGACTGATTGTTATCAAGTCAGGTCAGCCTCATATAAAAGCTCCATCTCCATATAACAGATAATGTCATCACATCGTTTCGTTTCGGTGTAAGGGCTTATGCAGTTGCCGTAGTGAGTTTCAACGGAAGGTGATCCATGTCTGGCTAATTTCGGCGTCCCCGCATATCGGAGCGGTCAGCGATCAGCGGTCAGCGTGGCTCCGAGTCTGACCTCGCCAGCCGGGTGGCTGTCGGACCCGACCCTGGCCGGCGACAGCTGTTTACAGGAGCATGGGGGGGACGGACACGGCTAGCGGGACTGGGAACGCCTGGTACACTCGGGGGCAGATTGATGTTCCACAACTCTTTATCCACCGGGTTCCTATGGCTCAGCATTGGCAGCAGCCGCCTGGTACCGGTAGACTGTGCCGCTTCACTTACTTGTTAAGCGGCACAGCCTACCCACACCGTATGCCATCGGTCTGGGTCGGTGGCTGGAAGGCGATGTGGGCCGCCTGTGACGTCAGCGCAGCGGTGAGGGCCGAGCCCGGAGGCATGGCTCGGGTCGGCGCGGCGCGGCGGCTGGCGAAGGCTGGGGAGTGAGGTGGGGTGGGAGCACGGACCATCGCGCTGTTGAGCGAGTGTAGTTAACTTTCGCGTCTCAAGGCGCCAATTATTCTACCTAACAATTGTGCTAAAGCAGTTGTTAAAATGTCCTATCCCCAAGACAGCGCCTATCATCATACTTGCCATGCACATTACGACACACTCAAACGTGACATTGGGACAGCCGATAGAATTTATATCACACGTGCATCGAGTTGCGGAGCTACATTGTTTTTAACAGATATGTATTAAGGCCTTGATTGAGCTCATTGGTGTCTATTATTTCGCACAGCAATCGTCCAGAGACGTGGGAACTGGGGTTTTTGGATAGCGCGGTGTCCCAACTTTAAAACTCTTATGTTCCTCTATATCCCTCCCTCCCACTCTCCCACGGTGTTCCCCAGGGGTCCATCGTGGGTCCCATCCTCTTCCTCATCTTCGTCAACGACCTTACCTGCTTCCTCCCCCATGGCCGACTCATATCCTACGCGGATGACACCCAAATCCTGGACTCAGCACCCTCCAATCCCACTGGCATCCAAGTGCTGAAGTCCCGGGCCGAGGAGAACATTCAGCAACTTCAACGCTGGTTTAGCTTAAACAGTTTAAAAATGAATGGAGAGAAGACCTGCTTCACTCTTCTTGGCACTCAAAATTCAGTTGATAAAGTCAAAAACTTCACCCTTAACGTAGATGATGCAACTATTCGGCCAACAAAACACATCAAGGTGCTGGGTGTTCTCCTCGACCAAACCCTGAGCTGGGAGCCCCATATATCCTCTATCGTTCGGCGGTCAAATGGAATCCTTATATCACTGTTCAAAATTCGCCATCACCTCTCCCCTGACATCCTTAAAATCCTCGTTCAAACCCACGTTTTCCCCCACCTCCAGTACTGCTCGTCAGTCTGGGGTGGTGCCTCCAAATCCCGCCTGCACCGGCTGCAGAGGACTATCCATCTCGCTGTACGGCTCGTCTCTGGTCTCCGCAAATTCGACCACATCACCCCCGCCCTCGGCGCGCTCGGCTGGCCCGGCATTGGTGAGGTCATCGCACGCCGTGACGCGGTGAACGTGCAACGCGCCTTGTACGCCGCCGGCGCCCCCGACTCGCTGCGGTCCATGTTTCGCCCGCGTGCCGCCGTCTCCAATAGAGTCACGCGGGCCACGGCTGCGGGCGCAGCTGTGCTCGACCTGCCGCGGGTTCGACTGGCGGCGACCAGGCGGCTGTTTTCGTATAGAGCCGCCGCTGCATGGAACGGCCTGCCGCCGGAGGTGAAGGCGACTGGTTCCAGGAGACAGCTGGTGCAGCACTTTAGATAGTGACTGACAAGTGACATGACTGATTTTAGATATTTTATGTATGCTTTTGCGGGTGTTGCTTTATATTGACGTGTATATTGTATGTATGTATATATGTGTGTGTGGGTGTGTGTACCTATCATGTATTGACTGGGCCGTAATAGCCACTTGTGGACAAGCCCTAAATAAACGAAACGGGTCTCTAATGTGTGGTCGCAGCCACCAATAGCAAACCGTTCCATCTAGGAACAAATAAGTCGCGCACCTGGGACGGTTCGAACCGGGGTTCTCCAACCGGGCACCCCACGACGCTAGCGTGTATCCACTGAGCTGCCGAAACCAGCGACCACCCGCCGCGGTCAAACGCGATCAAATGTCACAATACTGTCATTGGCGGTCAGCGGGTGAATGTCATTTTGTTTTGTGCGGACGAGGACCATTCTCGGTAGCTCAGTGGATGAACGCTCGTGTCATGAATTGGCCGGTGGGTGAAGCCCGGTTCGAACCCCCTGAGTGGCTGACTTTTTGGCTCCTAGTTGGAACGGTTTGCTATCGTAGGCTGCGACCACATATTAGAGCAACAGTAATAATCGCTTTAAATTGGAGCGTTGGCTGCGGCACTACTCATAACCCCCAGTTCCCACGTCTCTGGACGATTGCCGTGCGAAACAATAGACACTAATCTGCTCAATCAAGGCCTTAATACTAATATGTTATACAAAATATAGCTCCGCACCTCGATGCACGAGTGACATAAGTTCTATCGGCTGTCCCATTGCCACGCTTAAGTGTGTCGTAATGTGCATTGCAAGTATGATGATAGGCGCTGTCTTGGGGATAGGACATTTTAACAACTGCTTTAGCACAATTGTTAGGTAGAATAATTGGCGCCTTGAGATGCGAAAGATAACTACACTCGCTCAGCCACGCGATGTCCGTGCTCCCAACCCACCTCACTCCCCAGTCCTCGCCAGCCGCCGCGCCGCGCCGACCCGAGCCATGCCTCCGGGCTCGGCCCTCACCGCTGCGCTGACGTCACAGGCGGCCCACATCGCCTTCCAGCCACCGACCCAGACCGGTGGCATACAGGTGGGTAGGCTGTGCCGCTTGACAAGTAAGTGAAGCGGCACAGTCTACCGGTACCAGGCGGCTGCTGCCAATGCTGAGCCATAGGAACCCGGTGGATAAAGAGTTGTGGAACATCAATCTGCCCCCGAGTGTACTGGGCAGTGGACACACCCGGCACTGTGCCCGCCCGGGACCACCGTGAAACAGAGCTCGCCGCTCAGAACTCTGATCGCACAGGAAACGAGTGTGAAATATCAAATAGGTCATTTGATAACGATCAATCCATGAAAAAACTAATATACATAAAACTGCTAGTCTGCATCAAGAATTGCTGTGGGAAGAAGTATTGAAACTTCAGTGTCCGTTGTGGTCCTTGCGGTGCAGTTTCAGAAAATGTATGTCTAATGTTCGTCCTATGTCCGGTATTTTCGTGGGCTGTCCGTCCAAAAATGTCCAAGCCAGTCATTTGTCCAGAGATGTCCGAAAACTGCGCAATAGTCTACACTCAACACAACTATTTAATTTGCTTTTAATATACTATTATCAACCAAAAAGTGTTAGGCATCTCGAGAGCTGAGCCTTGTATTCGCCAGTCATTCAAGGCCATTAACGATTCAGTTTATATAAAAATGCTGAGGTGTAGCAAGTGGTAGTCAAATGTTGTCCAAAGCCTGCTGCATTTGTCCAACCAAATTCCTAATTGGACATTGGACAAAATTGGAATTCCGAAGGTCCAAATTCTGATTGGCACCACTAGCACAGACATTACTTTCTGAGATGTCGTGGGAAAACGACAGAGACCGTTTCCTCCTACCAGGCACGGGTTAAAAATGTGAGCGGGTTCGTTAGTTCCCGCCTGACTGGAGTACTTTTAAAACGACTGATGGGTGACTGGGGTACTTCTAATGCGACTGATGGGGAGGAGGGACTCATTAGGCCCTTGAACTAGCATGCAGTCATCCACCAACACTCACTCATAATGGGACGTCATGTGGCAGTCGCCGTTGAGGTTGCATCGAAGCGCGTCGCAGCGGTCGGGCTTCACCTTCGTCTTGACGTCGGTGCCCGCCGGCAGCTCGACTACGTTGTACGTGACGTTGAAGCCGCGTGACACGCTGGACTGGAGACAGCCGTCAGCGGGTCCGCTGGTGTCTCCATTCGACGGGTTCATTATGAGAACGAGGAACTCATCGCCGGCCTTGGTGGCCACATATCGCGTCGTGTGTCGAACCGGAAATATGTTGGTGTCCTCGGGCGCCTCGAAACTCTGCGAGATGTCGCTCACCGGCTGGCCCCAGCTGCATTTGACAATGTTTCTGGTGCGGCTCGCATTCCGGCAGTTCCTGAACGAGCTGACGCGCAGGTCACCATCCGCCAGGTGGTACTGGGTCATGTAGACGATGATGGCGTATGACGAATTGGGCGCCTGCAGGAACCAGGTGGTGGACTTTGGTAGCTCGCGCCGCGACCACGGCGGCTCGCCGAACCCGTCCGTGGTGATGGTGTTCCACCTTGACTTGGAGTCCTTGGTGTTGATCCAGCGGAGCTCCGAGTCACCCTCGCGGAACGTCCTGTGGGACTGGAGGACGGAACTCGCTGCTGAGGTCGCCAGCAGCAGCGTCAGCAGCACTGGCCGCAGCGGTCCGAACAGTACACCCATCGTCTCACACACCCGCCGCCTCACTGCCGGCCGACTGGAGGAGGCGGCGGAGCGGCGCCGGCGGCGTCTTGTGACGTCACGGCGCGGCGGCAGGGCTCAGCCCCCCTCCAGGCAGACCGCGCAGTCAGCACGTGCGCCGTCCTAATTTTTGGTGACGGATGTAACTCGCTCGCTCCGGGTGGCAGTGACAGGTCGGGGTCGCCAATTGGTTAGATAATTGGTGCGCGGGAAGGGGTCGTTTTTCACCCATTTGTGTCCTCTGCAGAATGCGTCATCGTTGCATCGTGTGACCAGAGGCTCGTCTGCATAGATACACATTACACACAGCGCTCTCGTGCCCGAAGCTAAGTGCCGTAGACGTGCAGGTGCCGTATGACGCTTCGTAGCTATAGATTTGTTCAAGCTGTGCCCGCGCATGACTGTTTTGTGCTTATCATTTTATATTCATAAATTAATTCCACGAGTGCTTTTATGCTTATCTTATATTCATTCCAGGAGTGCTTTACCACGAGCAGCAGCCTTCGAAAGCTACAACTTACGACTCAAGAACCTAGTCATCCATTCAGTCGTATCGCCCCTACAAATATAATTTGTCGCTCTCCTATGGTATACAGATTCAGCCTAATCTTCGTTAACAGCCTGCGATTCACGACAGCGGAGGGGCGGCCCTTTGATGGTGACCGGGTCAGAACCCATACTGGGAGTCTAAAACCCGTCCCAGCACGGTCCGGGACAAACGGTCCTTTGGTCCGGGACCGACCCGGGACCGGCGGTCCGTGCCGCCGGTCCACCGTCGAGGATTGTCCCGCTCAGGGGTCGGCTCAGTGTCGAGCTTGGCATGTGACCGGAGACAAACGCCAACCAGCACAAGGCCACAGGACGATGATGGTTGGAATAACGACAAAGGACCCTCCAGCTGGCCGAGCTTAGGGGCATCGTAATTAACATCCTATCAAGGTCCTTGCAGCCCAGTGGCGCCACGTCACATCAGGTTATTTGCATACCTATATCTCGCAGAAGCCCATACGTTACAAACACCATGAGCCTTGAGCCTAACAGCTGCCTCGGCCTGCAGGCATATGATATGCAGATAGGGGGATGCAGCGTGAGTGGCTGCTGAGTTATGGTGTGCGACTTCAACCGTCGCCAATTAGCACGAAACCGGCAGCCATGTTGGCCGACACGCAACGTCAACAGCATTTGAATGGACAGTTCATCAACTGTTTGCAATGAATTTCATTGCGATGAATCAAAGTCGCCATGCATTTGCATGCACCTTGTTACTACCATGCAACGCAGCTATGGTGACTGCGAGGGGGCGTGACATCTATCCGCTGACCTGAAAAAAAAAACTCAAATAAACGGTCGTTTTAGATCGTTTTTATTTGTGAGATGGTGCTTTTTGCCATGATGAATAGATATAAATATGCAAAAATGATCAATAACATGGCAGAAATGTAGAACTTTTATCGTAAAATAGGCCAAATATGAGAATAAGCTTTCGCTTTACAGCATCATTAGAATCTGATGACGCTGTAAAGCGTAAGCTTATTCTCATATTGGTCTTTTTTACAATAAACGTTTTACATTTCTCCAATGAATGTTATTGATCACGTTTGCATGTCTTAGATAGTCGTGCATCACAAACTTCTGAAACATACATCATGGCATCGTGTAGCATGTCACATTCAACATAATGCATTCGTAATATGCATATTTGTAATATGTATTATGCACTCGTAATACGAAATAAGGCACCGAAAACCTAGGCATCCCAGAGCTTGCTGAGCAATCCTGACTCCCCGTCCGCCCCACCCCCACCCCTACAATACCCACGACAGCTAGAGAGATACGGGCTGACCAGTGACCTCGGAATGTTCCCCTGAGTGACCTCAAAGAACCCCGGTCGGCCAGCCGCCTGAGAACGGCTGCTGACGGCGCGTCCTGGCCGCTGACGGTGACCGGGACGGTGTCACCTGAGCCGCGACATTAGAGACGGCCAGACAGCACCTCCACCTCCGGCCTCCGTCGCCGGACGGACCGGGACGGACCGACACGGTCACGGGGACGTGCGATGTTCGGGGCCCGGGCCACGGGGAGTACCGCCCGTGCCATATGTGCCAGAGCTGGAGACGCCTATACGGAGGGCTGTGTCCTGTGTCCGTCCACAATCCACTACACTGAGAAAGGGATCTTTTGCACTGGACGCGATGAAAGGCAATTCCACTTTTAGCATGGGCCGCAATGGTCCACGAGTTAAAATGAAAAACTCATAGGGTGTCAAATTGTCCTGAGCTTGGCAGAACACTCCAAAGATAGGTATGTGCCGCTGCCCTGTACCGTACCCCTTCAGTTGACCTCTATGCTTCATCAGCAGACGACAGTTTCAGCTGGCGAGCCGTGGTGCGGAGCTGTCGGTATCTAATTACTCGGACCAACTCGGACGGAGACGGACAGATGCACCGACGAGTCCGGACACTACGGACGACCCGGACGACAGGGACGAGCCAGACGAGTGGCGACAGAGACGAGCCGGACGGTAAAGACCAGGCGGACGACATAGGCGAGTTGGACGAGCCATGTGTCATCACAATTATCCTGGCGACCAAACCACAATATGAACCGGGTGATACTCTAGACTGTAGTTGGTACAGATACACAGGTGAGGCAGGACGACGCAGCCAGCTCTGCCTCTGACAACCCGCCTATCGATCCTGATAATAGACGGGCTCCTTGCTGATAATCTGGGAAACGAAACCAGACTGGGTACGGCAATGAAACGGCTGTTGACATTCAATTGCCATATAAATGCATGAAACAAACACAATTAGTCACCTCATCCCCGAAACGCATAATCATAAGTAGAAATAGTCGACAGCCAGGTGAGTCGGCCGACAGCCGCTTTCCATCGGCGCATGGCCGATGCGTCCGACCTCCAGCCACCCTTTACCAGGGCACAAGCTGTCCGTGGAGACCCACAGCCGTCCGTCTGTCATCAGGAAGGAGGTAAACACGGTCGGTTTTGCCACCACAGACTGACACCTCCGGCCAACCAGCCCTCGTCACCCCAGCAGGCCAGCTGCGGGTGCCATCAGTAGCAGAAAGCGGGGCGGTCGGTGCTCGGACCGCGACTGAACTCCCCAAGGACGGGCCCAGTCGGTCAGATGAGCGGCAGTCGACAGTTAAAACGGCTCCCTTCCGAGACCGCCCAGCAGAAGTAAACCAACACTGAAAACTTTTTTACCATTTCCTGAAGGGTAAACCCGCCATAGCATGGTAGCTTGACACACAGACGTTTTTTACCACCTTCCAGATGGTAAATTTTACTCTTTCATGAAGAGTAAACTCGCCAGGGAGGGGTAACATGACACACAGACGTTTTTTACCATCTTCTGAATGGTAAACTCTTTTGATTTACTCTTGTCTAGAGTGTAACATTTTTTGGGTTACACTCTTTGAAAGGGTAAATCTTTAACGGAACCCTTTTTAGGGAGTAACGCATCATCTACTCTGTGCTTTACCCTCCTACAGAGAGTATATTCTTATGGCCTACCCTTTGTCACATGGTAATGTTTACTCTTTCCTTTAGTGTAAACCCCCCAGAGGATGGTAACAGACCCACAGACGCTTCCTTCAGAAGCTTCACGAAGCTTCTGTTAACCGGAGCTCACCAACTAAAAAAAAAAATATGTTTCAAGAGCAACAATGTAGGTATATTTGGCTTCCGTACAAACAATACGAGGGGCACACCAACCATGAACATTGTGAGACTCTTCACTTATTCATACAAATTTATACAAAGCGTTCAGCAATGCACAAGCGGTAAATAAACACCACGATACAACTTGAATGCAATTTGAATATGAATACAAGACATTCAGCGCCCTCATATTGGATTAGGCAGAGCGCACAATATTTGAAGTGAGCGACGGCGTTCCTGGGTGGTCGCCCGTCTGCGTGAGATAATGAGACTGGATCACTACAGTGCAAGGCTTTTTCAAAGTCACCAACAAAATGCATAAACTTGTAGCATCACAACAAAATTAATGTACGTACTCACAACACTAGGCCACGTGGCCGTGCACGGGGTCCTGTTAACCAGGTCAAATTAGCACCACTCAACGGCACGCAATGCTCTAGCACATCGGTACTTACAATAAAATGTCCACAGAGGCTCTATAGGCGATGAACAACACACAAGCACAATCACCAAAGGCCACGCCGCGCGGCACCCACACTGCTCACATCCGCTCTCGGAGACCAACGGCCGAAAACTGACAGATGCGCGCGGCCTTTAAACCGCAAACGGCCGATCTCGTTTCTGATTGGCTGATTGTTTCCATTTCAAATATCATCTTCACGAGGGTAAACAAGATCCACGCATGAAACGACTATCTGTACCCGAGTCACGATACCCAGGAGGAAAGAGTTTTCGTGATGTTCTGGATCGCGAGAGTAATATTGATATTTACATGGTAATAATACTCTTCGCTGGCGAATAAGTTCATATTAACCACGTACCGTTACTATGCACATAATGGTAGCAGCGAGTTACCCTTTCAATATACTATTATCTTGCGGGTTTGATGAAAATGAACTCTCCAGGAGGTAGTAAAAAAGTTTTGAGTGAAGCATCGGTCGACTGCCAGATCACTCCGCGCAAAAGGTCTTAAAATACAAGCCGTTATAGAAGTGCCGAGAGGTAATACAATTTTTTTACTCCCAAAGAACTATCTTTTCATAAGATACCTAAGATTCCCAATATCACACACGGCATTGGACACCGTCAGAGGCAGTCCTTTTTTTACATCAGAGATGCCAAATGAGATGCAGAAGTGCTCCTATGACCGCATTCTTCCTACATTACACCTTTTTACTTTGAAAGTATAAATATCACAGCGCCCTGCAGGCAACCATAAATTCAAAATCAACAATGCACTTAAAACAGCCCTACTGAACCAGCCCACCATGCCAGTGCAGTTGCAGTAGGTTGACCACCGTTCCACCTACCACTCTCGCTACACTGGTGTTCGATCTATGAGGACTGTAGAACCGGACAGCTGCTCACTCTCACGATGGATTTAATCGCTCCCCGTGACCTGGTAATGAACGTAGATATGCCAGCTTTATCGCAATAAAATGCAAGCACGTAAATAACTTCATGCTTGCAAAAGAGTATACGAAACAGTATACCTTTCATTCAAATGGTTGTATTTGTATGAAACACTCGCATCCATGCGCAAAGTAGGAGTACGACATACAACCCGTCAGGGTGCACATTTCATCGATCTACTAGTACAAACAGAGAAAATTGTTTTCCCAACGCTGCGGCCAGCCTGGGGCGTTCCACGACAAATCGACAAATAAAAAATTAAATTTGCACCCTCATATTTTATTCTTCGTTGAAAACTGGTGTAAGGGGTTGTGATGGGCGGGGAAGCCAGCTGTGGCAAGGATTTTTTTCTTCGAACAACTGTTTCCGAGATATAGCCTCGGACAATTTCTGGATTTCGCGCTGCAGCCCTATGTTTGGCGGCCTATAACTCAGAAACTATTGGTTTCTTACGATAAAAACTTTATATGGTTCAACTCACAATCAACCAACAAACATTTTGGCTATCTCGGATTTTCAATTTTTGAAAATTTTGATCACGTGACCTTTTTTCCTATTTTTCGAAGAGTGACCTTGATATTTTCCCCACTGAAAGTTGCAATTTTGTCTGATGACGATTAAAGCCTTATCGATTGTCATTCATATGCGATAATAAAAAAGTGGTTATCGCCCTGCGTTGACCTCAGGTCAGGTCATTTTTATGACCTGTCCATTATTACGAGCGGGAGCGACAGCGAGATCTCGAGAATAAAGCAAGATAGCGACAAGCGGTAAACGGTAAAGGGTACATACGGATAAGGTCTATAATTTTTACTGAGGTCATTTTCAGGTCAGGTCAAAGATGACGTCACAGGAGCTAAAAGGAAGTCAAAATAGCGGCACTATACATATATATGAAGTTTTTCTCAAATAACTTTCAAGGTATCCCAGCTAGGAACAAGCTAATGGCACCATCGTGATCCTCTCGTCGATCCGCATCGAAACATATGTATGTTGACCTCGAAAGGTCGAAAGGTCAAAAGTTGACCTCAGATCACGTGACCTAATGTCAACTTTTGACCTTTCGACCTTTCGAGGTCAACAAACATACGTTTCGATGCGGATCGACGAGAGGATCACGATGGTACTATTAGTTTGTTCCTAGCTGGGATACCTTGAAAGTTATTCGAGAAAAACTTCATATATATGTATAGTGCCGCTATTTTGACTTCCTTTTAGCTCCTGTGACGTCATCTTTGACCTGACCTGAAAATGACCTCAGTAAAAATTATAGACCTTATCCGTATGTACCCTTTACCGTTTACCGCTTGTCGCTATCTTGCTTTATTCTCGAGATCTCGCTGTCGCTCCCGCTCGTAATAATGGACAGGTCATAAAAATGACCTGACCTGAGGTTAACGCAGGGCGATAACCACTTTTTTTATTATCGCATATGAATGACAATCGATAAGGCTTTAATCGTCATCAGACAAAACTGCAACTTTCAGTGGGGAAAATATCAAGGTCACTCTTCGAAAAATAGGAAAAAAGGTCACGTGATCAAAATTTTCAAAAATTGAAAATCCGAGATAGCCAAAATGTTTGTTGAATGTTGGTTGATTGTGAGTTGAACCATATAAAGTTTTTATCGTAAGAAACCAATAGTTTCTGAGTTATAGGCCGCCAAACATAGGGCTGCAGCGCGAAATCCAGAAATTGCCCGAGGCTATATCTCGGAAACAGTTGTTCGAAGAAAAAAATCCTTGCCACAGCTGGCTTCCCCGCCCATCACAACCCATTAGACCAATTCTAAGCAAAAAATAAAATATGAGGGTGCAGGGCACTTGTCGATTTGTCGTGGAACACGTCGATTTGTCGTGTCGTGATTTGCCTGCCAATCCTCGTGCCTACAAATATTCAACATTTGGCTACTATGCTTCAGAAAATACCGATGGAGAACAAAGCTGCACCTTTAAATACATGGAAACTACCGCATGAATTGGGTTAACTTTTCACGTCCTAGAGCCAGGCACTGAGAGGTGATTACACCAGCACCCCGAGCTCAAAACGAAACAATGCCGCAGACAGGATGACGACTTCTCCAGAAAACCGCATCACACTGTGTGCTTCAGAAAACGAAACTTCAGGGCCATCTCAGATGACAACAGGCCATTAGCGGCATTGGATGTCACCCGGAGTCCTATCCCATGACTTGGATGTCCCATTCCATGACTGCAGTCACCACAAGGATCAATCTAACATCCGGTCTTTCGACGCGACACTGATTCATCCATCCGTACACATCAACTGATCACCGCTCGTCCGACTCCTAGCGGCAGGTCACCACACAAACAACGTCCAACGCCACCACTGCATTCACACCAAAGTCCTGACCCTCCACTGCCCCTGACTATCACCAGGGCCGGCGAGGGGTCTGCATAACATCCGAGAGTATCCACTGGGTCTTAGGGTGCGGTACGAGGCTCATCTGTTTGTGCCGCGGGTGGACAGGACACATGATGTACCAGCGCTGGCCGCGTGCCACCTTGTAACAGTGCTTGCAGCGCCTGCGTAGGGCGTAGCGCATCTTCATACCACACGAGGGCACCACCTGCCGATAGAGGAGGCGTCAGGGGGTGCGGTAGGTGGCGGCACGGGCGCGAGGCGGGGCCGACGCTGGAGGTATAACCGCATGTGACAACTGACAACCGACGACAAACATCAACGACTAACACATATACATGCTAATGCCATGTTAATGTCATGTTAATAAACCAGGAAGGGATGAGACTGTCAAACAGCGTGTGACTGTATTTGACTGTCAGGTAATGTATCATAAACAGCATAAAATGCCTAAACAACAAAAACACGCATGAGGCAATCAGGAAAGGATTAATTTGAGGAAACGTACCGTTTACGTCGAATTTCTGTCCGCCATCAACATCAGTAAATCACCCCTGCTAACTTCTATTGTCATCTTATGCATAAATAAATCCTTTATAAACCTTTGCTTCAACATTTAGCATCCTTATCTTTTGTTCAACCAAGCACATGCCGAATACAGATAGCATGCAAGCTGAGAAACGAAATGGTACGGATGGATAGGACGGGTAGTATGAAAATCACGGCACACAATGAAAATTTTGACTAGCGTGACTCAATTGCGAAATGCTAAAATCCATGCCTCTTAACATCAGAAGTGAGCAGAGAAAACCAGATAAAAGGATCGTGTTGCTAAACATAAAAGTGAATAGCCGGGAGAAGAAGGACCTCGGCTTGTCTACATTAAAACGAATGAGGCGGTATCTCGCGCTGTCCACTTTATGCTGCAAGCAAGGACCTTAGTATATAGATTACCATAGCTAGACATAATTTAAAATCCTCCATGTGCTCCAAATTCAACTTCCCGACGCATTTAAACTCGTGCCACCGTTTGTATAATTGCATGTTGATAGATCACGAACGAATGAATAATTGGATGAAGATGATAAGATCAGGTGCCTAGGAGCAAGCACTGTAAAGAGCGCTGGAAGAAAGGCTGGAAAATGGGCAGCATCCACATTTACGGCAACCGCTACCCAAAAATAGCCTACCTACTACGTTAATTATACAACCACAGGTAACTGGCATAATATAATCTCAAATGCAGATCATATTACCCGAACAGATGCTGGTCTCAGGTAATTTGTTACTAACAAAAAATATTTAAACTCATGCCTATCGATGTGCTCCAATAGGGACGGTGTTCAGCTGACCTGCGGAGTGCTGGTGGCGAGCAGGGGTCCGGCCGCCAGTGGCGCCGGGACCGGAGATTGGAGACCAGCAGTGGGAGTGGCTGCCGGCACAGGGAGCGGCCGGAATGCAGTCCAGAGCGAGCGCAGCGGCAGCAGAGGCGGCAGCCGAGCGGCGCCGAGCACTCCACCCGCCAGTCGGCCCAGCAGACTCATGGTGGCTGAATGACTGCGCTGACAGCAGCGGCAGCCAACAAACGGTCACACCTGGGGATACAGCAGGAGTCAACAAACGGCCACACCTGGGGACACAGGAGTCAATATGGTAGCCGTGCTGGCAATGATATTCTGGTAATGTGGCTTTCATTACAGAACCAATGTGATGTGCTTTTATCAGGAACACTGTGTATATCAAATCTTGCTGTCCCTTAGTACCTATTTGTGAACATGACAAAAGCAAGGGAGAATCTGCTAGCAGTGGAAAGATCTTGTGCACTCTAACTTCCATTTTCTAACCTCACATGCTTGGCCTACTTTTAAAACCTGCAAAGGTCAAAATGGTGACTACTGACTGTACGTTATTGTCAGCTTAAGCAAAACACATGACATGGCTATGGGTGTGGAAATCTACACAATGAAAACCTAAAAAAGGTTAAGCCAGGCATGAAATTCTTCACTGTTGGCTGACACAGCTGATCATTCAAGGACTCCATAAAAAGGTGGTTTTGGATGAAGGGGTGCTCTTACCAAACTCATTCTCTAGCTTTCAAAACAATGAGTCAATATTCCCCCTTAATTTTTAACCTAGCATTGCTAGCAATTTAACTATTAAGCATCACAGGTAAAATTTTACATACAAAGGTAAGCAGAAATATTATTAAGTGCTCAAGCAAGAAACGTATTGAATATAATTCGATAAATAAAAGAAGTTGACCTTTTCCTCGACATCAAAAATGTTTATAAAAACATCAAAAATGTAAAAATATAAAAATTAAGAAATCTGGCCCAGCTGTCAGGATCAGGATAGCATGGATGAACCCCCAAAGGCTACGGAACATCAGATTTTCAGGTGATTGTACATGTACACAGAAGAATGTCGTCAACGGGCTAAATTGAAAGTTGTGTGAAGGAAAGAGTGACGACGGCACATATATTGACAATACAAAATGACCTGTTTGACTAAGATTTAACAAACATTTACGAGACGCCTTGAGTGCATCCGAAAGGGCCCCGATGGGAGACCACTTCCGTAAGCACCACCCCGACGCACCACTAAACCAATCCTCCCTTCCTCTTCAGGTTCGTGTCCTTCATTGCTCCAAAGACCACCTGGACAGAAAGTCGCAGAATCCCTGTTCCCTACTTACCACCTACTTATATAAGCAAACCGCCCACACATCAACTCAATTATTTCATCGTGGCCGATGATGTAAGCGTGTATCTTATGTATCTTGTGGGAGTGTAGCCTTTTTCAAATTAATCGTTTAATATGTGTATGTGTGTGTGTGTGTATATTATTATGTTGTGTATGATGTATTAGGCATCAGTGTGCACACCTTCCACACGTGTGTATTTGACAGCTATGGGTACAACTGTATATTATGTATGTCGCCGTACACCTGACACTATGTAGACAGTCAGTCTATCAAATAGTAGTTTGCGTTTATTAGTAGCACCTTGCCTAAAATATCACGATCTTCTGTTTCTGAGCCGAGGTTCAGTTTGCACATTTCTTATCAATCACAATCAAGCTCAAGCTGAAGCGGTAAATAAATAATCATCATTATTATCAATCATCACAGCACATACCTTCAACTTAGGGTAATTGACAACTAGGATATTATAAAGAAAATACTAAAAATATCAATAACCAATATTGATATGGCTTACAAACCAAAACCTACAAACCAACGAATGGACACTCAAGGACAACTCACTGAACGAAGTTTGCGCAGCTTATGAAACACCTGCGCTACGAATGAATGCACAGCTGTTTTGAAAGCAGCAGCTAAATTAATAAATATGAAGTATGCCAAGAAAAGCAGGAGAAGCCAACTTGCGACCATCCTAAACCCCTAGTACCATGGGATGAATCAATACAAAACATCACCAGTCGAATACAATTTTACTTTAATTTGCTTTTATAGCATGTTATGTGTAAGGGGTCCGTAGGATCTCCAGACGTGCGGGCCTGCGGCCCCTGGTGGCTAGTCGTGCTGAAGCTTCATGGAAAAACGAGCGAGTAGGTAGGTATAGTTGTCCGTGACGAAAGTAGAGGAAGCCGACCAGGGTCCAGGCCCTAGGTCATTTTCTGACCTTCCAGGTTATGCTAATGACCCAAAAAAGGAAAATTGGGGCCTCCTAGAAGTTATTTCAGTGATGTACCTATCATGTGTTAATGCACTGTTAATGCACTGTACTACTGTTATCTGTGGTTAATGCATAGTTTTTTTTTTTTTTTGGCCCGGCCTGATTTTGGATACCTACCTAATCGCGAACGTTAAATTGACCTTGACAAAAACGTTAAATTGACATTTCAAGGTCACCGGAATCACTTGAGATCCTCATACTTGAATCGGCTGACGAAACCGTGTACAGCGGCGGCGTTTTCATCTCGATCGGCCCAGTAGTTGCTGAAGTCTGAACTATAGAATGGCTGAGGCGAAAACGTTAAATTGACCCCTACAGGTCACCCATGTCACCTGAGGTCAAACGATTAAAGAAATAGCATTCGGCGAATCGATTACGCGGTGGCGTATTCGTCTCAATCGGCGCAGTGCTGGAGTTATAGACTGCCGCCTGCCATAGCCGTAAACGTGACCGGAAAACGTAATGCTTCCGTCTTTTGCATAATAATTAGGTATGCGCCTACTGCTCAGTTAGTTTTATGGTGAGGTCACTATTGCAACCGACCACAGGTAAAAAAAAAGAAGAAGATATAGGTACGATTTGTTGGAACTTGGAAGCTATAGAACTGATAGTTATGCACCGAGTTTCAAAATTCAAACTTCTATGGGATATTGATACCTACCTACTGCAAGAAGGTAAGTTGTGGTGTTTTTTAGGCACTTTGCTACTTAACTTGATCTGGTGACCTAACGTTAGGTCATCCGAGGTCAAAATCTTTAAACACGATACAGAATTGATGCATGATACCTAAGCTATCCCAAATTTGCGGCGCTGAGGCCGTGGTTTTATTGTAACACGTTACACACAAATAAACGGACGAGTGCGGCCGAAAATGTCCCAGTTCCCCTACCCCGCCAGGATGAATGGGAAGAGGATGCAAATGTGAAATAAAAAATAGCTGTTAGAAGCTTGACCTTCAGTAGCAGCTGGCTGGCTGTCGGAAATATTTGTGGCTGCTAGCGAATGATTTACGGCTCAGATGAAAATGCTGCGACAAACATAAATGAGCCGATTTATAATGACGACGTCTCACACGTGTGATTCTAAACCTGTGAAAACAGCATCGCACCCCTGTTTTGTCGCGACCAATTTCGCCGCATCAAAATAAATCACCCAGGTGTTACTATATGCTGGTAAAGAGTATAAAAGCTCGGTACAAAGTCACCGCCACAACAGGAGTGGAATAATGTTCGTCATGCACCACCTGGAACTGCTGTTGTGCCTTTTGGCACAGAAGCTGGCCTTCGCATCAGTGCTGAAGAGGGGTAAGTAGTTAGCAGTGCTTAATTGACCTTCGCATTCATAGAGAATAGAGATTAGAGATCTTATGTATTTATCACTATGCATAGTTTTATGTTCGTAATGCCTTTTCTTGATGCACTAATCGAACATCTGTGAACGACATAGTTCAGACGGTCCCTAGAATGAGGGGTTTGACTGGGAATCTAAGCGCAGCCCAAATTCAAGATAAGAGACATCGGAACAAAATGCATAGATACATATCGTCTATAATGATGACACAAGCTGATGATCCTCCTATGCAATAGTCATTGGGCGCCACAAATAACACTGCTACTCGTCGTGTTCCGTGCCGTTTCAGTTGTTGATATGAATGAACCGCTGGACTCCCACCCACTGGAGGTCCGCGGCTCGTACAACCGTCCCGTGCTGGACTGCAGCAGCGAGGTCCAGTACCTGGACCTGGGCTCGTATATCATCCACTCGCCCAACTTCGACCGGCACAACCCGCAAAACTACACCAACGACTACAACTGCTCCTACATCTTACACAACAAGGCCTCCTCGGGACTGCTGCGCTTCGACTGCTTCGACTTCCAGCTGGAGGATAGTGACGGCTGCTCCAAGGATCGCCTCAAGGTCAACTACGGCAACTATCGACTTCAGTCCTGCGGCGAGGACACGCCACCCACGGTGTACTACAAGAGCCTCAGCGTCAACTTTGTCACCGACTCCAGCGGCACCGGCACGGGCTTCCTCTGCAGCGTCATGGCAAAGAGATCGACCTCCGGCACCGGCGGCCTGCCCTGCGGTGAGCACAGTCTCGCAGCGGGTACTTACTTCCTCCAAAGCGGAAACTACCCTGGCAACTACGGCACCAACTCGGTCTGTGTCTGGTTTCTGGTGCCGAAATTTGCCGGAGACAGCATGAAGTTCAGTTGCAGCAGTTTCGACATGATCTCCTGGGACGGCTCCTGCAAGTGGGACAACATGGTCGTCAACGGCCACAAGTTCTGCAACACCAATCCGCCGCCGCGTGAAGACAATCCACTGGTGATGGAATGGGCGGCGTATGTGCGATACGAAACCCCAGATCTCCCTGACAAGGTGCGCCAAGGATTCAACTGCACTGTGGTGGTTTCGGCCAATGAATGAGCATTGTTGAAACGGACACAACTAAAAATTGGCAAGTGGGACACAGCACAAGGTTTACGCATGGATCAGCATTGAAGTAAATCTATTTAGAAAGCTACAGTTGACGGTGTTTTGCAATTTGGTGATGGATTTAGAAACATCCGGTCGGCGCCGAATGCTTCTGTGTGAATATGATGGGTGACAACAAAAATACACAGACGTAAAATGAGCGTTGCTGAAAATCCAGTTGGTGTCACAAGTCGGCATGGATTTCAGGTCGTATATGCTTACTTTCAGCTATCGGCTACATATTTCCAACGCGTTCCGAGAAATTGCGAATGAAAAAAAGTAAGTGAGATACACGGTGGCACACCGTCTGACCGGCTTCGGCGAGTGTAAGATCAAATTAGATGAGAACGGTTAGCCCCATTTAATTTAGTCTAGGCCGCGGGCACGTTTTCGGCCATTGACGGCCTTTGCTAAACTCAGTGTTGACCCGATTTGATACCTGGGGCATTCCACGATAGATCGTACCACTTTTTCCAATTTGACACCCTCATCTCTCGGAATTTGACAAGAATTAGTCTCAGGGGTAATCAGGGGCTCTGAATCCACCTGTAACAATTTCAGGCTTATCAGATAAATATTTTTTGAGTACCTAATGGTGTTAAACATTTTTTGGATCTTGCTTTGCAGCGCTAAGTTTAGCGGACTATAATTCTAAGATGGATTATTCAAATGCCAAATGTTATACAACATTGAACTTGCAATAAAACAGAGATTAATATGTATTTTTGAAATTTCAAAAAATACGCTTTTTTTATATATGACATATCAAGCTTTCTTTCATTTGTATTTTTTGGACTTACATAGGGACAATTTTTTTGAATTTTTATTTCTTTAAAAAATATTTGGCTCATTGTTAAGAAGTATGCAAAAAAAAATTAGGAAGATGTTCTTTCTATAAATGTATTTATTTTACGTCACGATAACGGTTTCGAACCGTGATTTCGGGAGGGGAGCTTACAAATGGCGTGGTAAAGCTGCCTAGTGACATCACGGGTTAGGTACTGATATTTCAATTGAAGTCTGAGTCATCTGAAAATAAATGAAAAGAGGGTTCATCCAACCCTCTTTCATATAATCGCGAGAGTGAAAAAGGCTGTTTGGTTCTGACATTGTTTTGGACGCCAATGACCATAGCTGTCCGAGATGAAAGTTACAGGACGCATACATGGTGTCCTCCAGAGGTCTCACAACTTGGATATCTGGGAATTTTTTAAGGTCAGGTCGGTCACGTGACATCACTGTTATAAGTCAATGGGGAAATATAAAAACTGTTATTTTGGCGCCGAGAATGATCTAAAACTATCTCACGTACAGCCCTCAGCAAACTGCGTGGTAGGTATTCTTTTTTCGACAAAACCGATAATAAGTCAAAGGCTATGCTATCAGTCGGTCGGAACTCACTGCAAATAGATGCGCCATGCTCCACTCCTTCGATTAGGTCTATCACTAAACAAACTATACGCCTTGTATGCATGGCAACAAAATGCAAAAGTTTGTTTTGGGAGAAAATATGAACTTTTGGGCTTTGTTGCCGAACTAGATGGAAAATGAATACGGCGATGATGCCAATTGCCAACCTAAGGTGCCGGTGCGGAGTCTCACGCGCCTTGCTGTTACGATTTCCGAGTGACCAATAGCATAGTATTCGCGTTATTCTCGTTTTTGTCGAAAAAAGAATACCTACCACGCAGTTTGCAGAGGGCTGTACTACATGGTATCGTGATTTCATGCACTCCTTGCAAAGTCCAATGCTTCACTTTTACATGGTTAACCTTGTGTGGCGTCATTTATGACGTCACTAGGGTCTTACGAGTTTTTCGTCAATAACTTCCAATCAAATTGAGCTAGAGAGTCGGGAAAGCCACCAATGAACTCGGGAACACTGAGAGCTTTTTTGATTCCTTTTAAGCATATTAGGGGAATTGGTCTAAAACAACACCCTGATCATTTCTCCGAATATACCCCAAATACACATTCTTTGAATATCGCTCTGAAACTCTTCTAATATACCCTTCACTGAAAACCTTTTTGATACCTTTTAAAGGTAGTGTGCCAGCTTTCCTGGACCATACGGAGTTAATGACCCGGATAAGGAGAACCGGATTTTTAGAACTTATCCATACCTTCAAGACTCATGGAAACGTCTTAAATGCTTCAAATTTTGAGTACCCCAGTGCGAAATTCGCCCCGACGGATTGTCGGTCGTACCCCAACCACATTTCACACCACTATGAACAATAAATGCACACACTAAAATCGCTATTACCTACCGATAGGCTCATCCAATCAAGTTTCGATAAATCCGTTCATCATCATCTCCTGCGGTTTCGAACACGCCTGTTAGGTGGCTTCTGATGCTCGTCGAGGTCGGAATTTCCAAATACGCTCAGTTGGGACCCATTTTGCACGTGCGCACGTGCAGGGTGCCGCTTCCAGATCTCGAGAACCGCTGGGCCGATTGCGCTCAAAGTAGGCACATCGCTAGAGACCGGTTAGTAGGGTGCCGTGGACAAGTCAGCTGGAGATACCCCGTCGAAATTTCGCACGTGCAAGGCTCACTCTCTCGCTCGCTCCGTTAGTCGCCCCAAAAGGCGTTATACTGGTTTTAGGGGGCGAAATTCCAAAAATTTCACAAATCAGACGTATAGCAATTTGATAGGCCTCCTTATTATTCACGTTTTATGTCTGGACTCTGGAGCATTTTTTTCTGTAATTTTAAAGCTGTACGCCTCAGGCCTGACAGCTCTTCCCGCGAAACCTTTTATGGGGTTAAAAATGGCGGAACATGACGTCATTCTGACGTCATGACTCATTTTTGGCCAACCTATCATAGCCTCCGGAAAAATGTTTGGTCACAATGTGTTACATTGATGCCCGGAGGGGTCCTGAAAGTTTGGTGACGATATCAGGAGTCGTTTAGGAGATAGGGATCTTCGGAAAAGGATAGGGGGCCGTTTCGCCCCCCCCCCATTCGGAGCGCGGGTTCTAACGAAAGCGGGCAAGGTGGTCTCCCCATCCCAGTAAAACAATCCGCCCATGTCCCCGCCTCCCCATGAAACAAGCAGACAACATAGGGAAAAACAGCAGGCTTGTTGTTAGGAAGTCAGTTTATTTGCTTCTCTTCCAAACCAACGGACAGCATTAAAGCTTTTATCTTTCTACCAAAGCCAACTGTCTTATAAACATCCCTATTTCGCATTAGATACACATATGAATGAAAAACAGAAAAATATACGCATTATGTCTTGTGCAATATCGCATCTGTACCAATTGCCAGGCAGAAGAAACGGAGAAATGATATGCACGGTCATGTTAGATTCATGACCGCCAAATAGCGCACCAAATCTTTCAAATAAAAGCTAGCCATGCCGCTGTTTACGTTTTAAGCCAGTGGACTGCACCAAACCTATGCCATCGGATGGCCTCTTCTGGAATGTGTTAAGCCGACTAAAAGTAAAAAAGAACACGCAGGCTTAATGCCTAAGGGTGGAAGATTCTGGACGTCGATGGGCGGATCTGTTGACTACCACCTCTGCCATTCGGAGAAGAGAAAGAGACAAGAGCACTTGACTGCACGGCCATCACATCACTGGCTCGCGCCGGGCGGGCCCGATGGACCCTCCCGGTGGCCGCGGGCGGGGAGGGGGCAATTTATTCGGCTTCAACCTGCTCCTCCTCATCGTCGAACTCTCCCTCGTCGTCAGCGGTGGCCTCCTGGTACTGCTGGTACTCAGATACCAAGTCGTTCATGTTGCTCTCGGCCTCGGTGAACTCCATCTCGTCCATGCCCTCGCCGGTGTACCAGTGGAGGAAAGCCTTGCGCCGGAACATGGCGGTGAACTGCTCAGAGATACGCTTGAAGAGGTCCTGGATGGCGGTGCTGTTGCCGATGAAGGTGGCGGACATCTTGAGACCACGCGGCGGGATGTCACACACGGCCGTCTTGACGTTGTTCGGGATCCATTCGACGAAGTAGCTGCTGTTCTTGTTCTGCACGTTCAGCATCTGCTCGTCCACCTCCTTCATGGACATGCGTCCACGGAAGATGGCGGCGACGGTGAGGTAGCGGCCGTGGCGCGGGTCGCAGGCGGCCATCATGTTCTTGGCGTCGAACATCTGCTGGGTGAGCTCGGGCACGGTGAGGGCACGGTACTGGGTGGCGCCGCGGGCTGTGAGCGGCGCGAAGCCCGGCATGAAGAAGTGCAGACGCGGGAAGGGCACCATGTTGACGGCCAGCTTCCTGAGGTCGGCGTTCAGCTGGCCGGGGAACCGGAGGCAGGTGGTGACGCCGGACATGGTGAGGGAGACGAGATGGTTGAGATCACCGTAGGTGGGGTTGCTGAGCTTCAGGGTGCGGAAGCAGATGTCGTACAGGGCCTCGTTATCGATGCAGAAGGACTCGTCGGTGTTTTCAACCAGCTGGTGGACGGACAGGGTGGCGTTGTACGGCTCGACAACAGTGTCGGAGACCTGCAATCAAAATTCACACGTTAGACATGCATAATAGCGAATTCATGTGCACATTGAATTCGCATATTTTTAGCAAGCAGTGAAATAATACGTAAAAATGTACATTTTGTCTCTAAGGCTCTGTTGGTGGACGGCATCGAAAGTTTCGCGCATCTAAACTGTAAAATAGCATACAAATAGTGTGTTACTTATAAACAACAAATCGTTACTATTAAACTCCTAGCAAATGGCGCAAAGCCTTGATAACATTCCTAGCTCACCTTGGGGGAGGGCATCACAGAGTAGGTGTTCATGATCCTGTCGGGGTACTCCTCGCGGATCTTGGAGATGAGCAGGGTGCCCATGCCGGAGCCGGTGCCGCCTCCCAGGGAGTGCGTCAGCTGGAAGCCCTGCAGGCAGTCGCAGCCCTCAGCCTCCTTACGGACGACATCGAGGACGCTGTCCACCAGCTCGGCGCCCTCTGTGTAGTGGCCTTTGGCCCAGTTGTTGCCGGCGCCGGACTGGCCGAAGACGAAGTTATCAGGCTTGAAGAGCTGTCCAAAGGGTCCAGAGCGCACCGAGTCCATGGTGCCCGGCTCGAGGTCGACGAGGATGCACCGGGGCACATAGCTGCCCGCTGCAACGAGAAGGAAAAACTATCCGTTAGGCACATCGCAACAACGTAAGAATGCCTACACTACATTTTCCCGGCAACTGTGTAGTGTGTAATGTGTCAGTCTGAGCTCCGAATGCTTGGATATATCAGAATGACAGGGGATGAGGTCAGCATCATCTGAGGCCAATTCACCGTCTTGGCTTTCGTAATCTTACATAACTGAAAACACAGGCAATCTGTCATCACCATGACATCTATTGAATGTTTGCATTCATGGCTAGTATTGGAATGGAAATGATTGTCTGAAATAGGTATAGCCTCATTTAAGGCACGAACAGATACAATGGAATTCATGCATACTTCTCCACGGAAAATTACATAACCCTTCAGGGAGTGAGGCACATCTGTCAAAACATACGACTGATGACCGCTTTCACCGTAATCCACGCCGCTGTCCATGAAAGGTCAGCTCACAGACATGCGGCTGGTGGACGAGCGACCAGCGGCAAAAGCATGGCTGAGGACGGCCACTGTTGCGCTGATGTGACCGACACGGCTGTGACTGACAGCGGTCATCTCCTCGTCCGTGACGAACAGCTGGGAGCGGACGAACCACCCAGAGTCACGGTCCCCGCGTCCGATCGGTCACCCCTTCCCCGTTCGACCATGTCTCTCGTCCAGACAGTGAACGTTCCTTAGACTCCTTGAGAGGACCATCACAGCTGACAGCTCCATATTCGACGGGGAAACTTTGCCAATGCCCGCTAACTTAGTAACCGTTCCTTATGTCCAGCAAGACACATTTCCCTCTTCCTGGCTGGGCAGAGCTCTCCGACTGCAGTCAAAGTTCATATTTCCACGAGGCGGACGCCATGGGTCGTGCGGCAGCCGCAGCTCCCAAAGAGGCGAGCTGTGGTTTCCGGTACCCCTTTCCAGTTCATTTTCCGGTGCAGTGCAGCGGTTTCCGGCGTCAGCGCTGCCGTCTGTTGGTGGGGGATATTGCCTGGTTACGACGCCAAGAGCGGCGGGTTGACGTTGACCCCGGCCCTGACCTCAAGGGCAGACCAACCGCTCACCGACAACGATCCGAGACGTGCTCACGGAGAGCCATGTTCAGCCACCACCTCAATCACGCTCCACGTGTTGCGACGTCTAATGTGATAAATCTCACACCGAGGATGGCTATAAACCAAGCCCGAAACAGCAAGCTCGCAGACGAGCGATGCAGCTGGTCCGCTCGACCCACGTCTGATGGCTCGGTTTGCGTCACTCGAGAGGTCTGCCTGTGACCTGGAGCCATGTCATCGGCCGGCGGCAGGCTGACCGCCCACCGCATACCGATGAGACTCGCGACGGGACGGATAACCTCCGGCGAGCGGCAGCGGACCGTTCGCTCCGGCCACGCCCGCCTCTAAGGTACCGCTCGGCGAGAGGCGAGGGAGACGCCCCTCTGCGGCCATCAATCTGAGGGATAGACGGCCGCCCTGGACCACCTAATAAGGTAATTAGTCGTCACGGAGAGGCGTCTCGCCATGACTGAGGTCTGGAGAGGTGTCGGAGATGGGATTGCGCTTCACAGAGTGAACTTAAACTGCACTGAATTACCTGCATGACCATTGGCCAGTGTAAAGGTGAATAACAAGCGAATAGATAGATGAACCAGATGGTATGGGAAATGGCGCTATAAAGCGTAGAGTGAAAGGCTGAACGACGAACGACAGCTCGGCAAGGTATATAGGGTGATGATTGACGGCTCAATTAGTAAATGAAGATAGCCTTTTTGTATCCCACGACTCAACTCTGATCGATAGGAGCCGGCACAGCCGAGACGGCGAGAGTAGCTGCCCCGCCCCCACCCCCGCCCGCGCGTGCTCACTGCCCGGTGCCTTTCACCGGCTGATGGGTAGTTAGAGACTGCGGGTGTGGGTCGATCCGCCAAGACCTCTTGACCCAAAGACCTAAGGTCAAAGGGTCACGAAGGCCTGAGACCGGGCAGACCACTTATTTAGCGCCAAAGGAAACATAAAATGAATGAGGGATATGTACGCAATTCTAGTCGCTTTAAGCGGATGAAATTTGAGCTCTTACATCGGCGCTTCACGTTATCACTTCATAACACATTTTGATATTTCAAAAACGTGCAGAAGCTAATGAGCTCTTAGATAGCTGCTAAATTGCTCCGCATTGCCAATATATCACCGTTCCCATGGCAACGCTGCACAACAGTAGCCGGCGACCTGGAGAGGCCGATATCGCGGGGCTACATCAGTCGCTCTTCAGCCGAGGTCGCCATCGATTCTGGTCGCTAAAACACGCGGATACATATCCTCGCCGCACGCTGGTAGACATGCCTAATGTGGACATACTCGTACCACACCGCTTTGGTGGCCTGCAAGCTCGGCGCACCGTTTATCGAGTTGCAGTTGGCAACAATGCTGGTAGTTTCGAGAAATGGTCTAGGAGAGCCCCAAAAGGCCGACGGCTCGGGACGGCCGCAGGCTGGTCCGGTCCGACCATCCGCTGTGGGCGGACTCCGAGCGTATCGGATCCAGGATCAGAGCCGCATAATCCCTTCGTCATGCCATCAGATCGGCCGGATTGCGAAATGAATAGACGGAGCACCCCACTGGGAACGACTTAACCTACACACGGCCTGTGTGTGGGTGTCTCCGGCTCGTGCGGTAACGGTTCAATGCGTGTACTTTAACACCCACCTTACGGGTAAATTACCCCATTGCCAGCCGGGGTGACAGCTTTCGGACGATCAACCGAGCCGTTAACGTCGGCAAGTGGGCAGAAACGACGGTCATTTTCCTACCTTAGCGATGTCGACCAGATAGTAAATGTCGACGTGACAAACATTATCTTGTAATCAGAACATGATTGCCTAAAATACGGCTTTCGACTTCCAATGAAAGCTCCCCGTCGCCGGTCCAAAGGCCAAAGTAACGAATGTAATAAACGTTATTTTCACCTCTATTTACCTAATAATAATCGAAGCTCTCATAGTTTGACATAGTCAGCTTAAGAAATGAAGGCATGCATTCAAGAACATGTTAATCAGCGTAACTTTCTATGCAGCATTTTATGTCCTTTACCTAATTAAACAAATGACAGGAAATGCTCTGCCGAGTCCTAGCGGCACAAAGTTTCTGGCATCTCGCTCGCCAATCTGACAGCACACATAACAAGGGCGGGTGTGATGTCATCTTTGCGGTCAGCTAGTTTAAATGCTGACCTCGAGACAGAGGGGCAGTGCGATACGGCAGCATGCCGCTGCGAGAGGGGAGCATGCTTGTGGTCACTCATCTTGCAGTAAGTGAAGTCAGCACAAGGCTGCTGAAGGAAGGGTGATTCAAGAGCTGACGGCAGAGATGAACGGGATACAGGCGCTGGCAAGTGAAGACTATTGCACGTGGATATCCATCCAACCAAGACCCAGTCTTGTCTCTGGTCTTGTGGGGTCATTTCCCGACAGGAGACACACACATCACCCTTTCTGCTGCCGCCGCCATAGTTCCTCATTCCCTACGCAGTCAGTCACTCTGGCATCCAGCAGGCCATATGGGGTGACCCAGAAACAGCTCGGAACAAGCCAACTTTAGCGGAGTTTCTGCTGAGTCTGCACAGCGGCTGCCGACGTCGGCGACTCGGCTATCACAGTCACTGGGCACTCCCCTCGCCCCGTCACTGGGCGCTCCTGTAGGTAGCCACGTGCCTTCAGGCGCCGCTGGGGCTTCTGTCGGAATCGCCCGACGACCGGTCTGACTCAGCACCCAGCGACGTTTGACGATCGATGGCGTTTGAAGTGTCGAATCGTTAACGCCACTGAATCGAGTCGGTGGTCCGTGAGTCAGCTCAAAGTTTGGTGAAGGAGCTCCCCATTGTGACTCAGGGGCAGCCCCGAAAGGCGAGGACCAAACGAGAGCCCGTGAGGCAGTGGATCGAGAAGACCAACTTCTATGACCATCTGCTTCTAAGTTGTTCATACACCGGGTTATTTAGGAGATCCCAACAACGTCTTTGACCTCTGGGGGCGCAGATGTGGTCCAACTGACCAACAAAGTCACCAGGTTCGGGTGGTGGCAAGCTGAGAGGGGGACCGGAGGGGGGATGATCGACCCGAATACCGTTCCCCTCGGGTGACGTGTCGGTCCGTCCTGTCGGCTGTCAGTGCTGCAGGGCATCACCGGCCGCTGGCTGGTCTCTGTTACTCATCAGCCATCTGCAAATGCACTATGCAGCCTGCTGCAGCGGGACGGTCATAGGAAGCCGCGCCGGGTGCGTGACGACCGCCGAGGCCATCCGCCGCCCCCGCCCCCGCCGCCCGGCCGGCCGGCGACGCCCACCGCCCCCGCCCCAGCAGACAGACGGGCGGGTCGCCCACGGGATTACTCATACATTTGTGGGCCGAGGGACGCGCGTGGGCAGCCGACAGGGCCACAGCCCCTGGCCCGGCGGGAGGGCGGCACCCCGGAACACACCCAAAAAGGACCGATCGCGTCGCACGCGCACACCGGCGCCCTGTCTTCATATGGCGATGAGCTGGGGCCGGGGCGAGGACTCGGCGCCGACTGCAGGGACGCCCGCGGCCAGGTCAGGCCAAGAATGAGACGCCTTCCCAGTCTGTTATTACCATTAGTCTTCCCTGTGTTTCTCTGGCCATGTGTTTCGGTTGCTTTACGACATACACACATGGCCCAGTTCAGCCTTCTTGCGTAGGCGTGCTTCTGTCTTGTCTGGGTGTGTTTGTCCCGACTGCCGTCACCCCCCCCCCCCCCCCCAGCCGCTGTCATTTATCTACTTCCCCTGAATCACTCTCTCTCTCTCTCGCTCTCCCTGTTTTTGCTGCGAGGTCCATTCACCTGTCTAATGTACGCCCCTCGCCACCCCCGCACTGCTTACTGCCGCTCTAAACAAGCCCTGCGTGACACCAGAGCCCAGCTGAATCACAGCACCATATGTCCCATGCCGGCACCAAAACAACACAAGGGACAGAAATATGTGGTATACAGAGTAGACCATCGCACCGACGACTCTGCGGTGGTGCAACCTCAAACAGCCGAAATCCCCGCCGGTAAACCACCGGCCACGCCCCAAACAGCCGCCGGTACGTGACCCATGACCTGGATGACGTCACCGATCGATACGACCCCGCCCGTCGGCCGGCGACTGTCTGGGTCTCCCGGTTACCACCGGCTGGCGAGCTGGAACCCTCAAACCGCTGCAGCTCTCATCCTCACTTCCGCAGCGAAGCCACGGGCCGATTCAGACCAATGCAGACAGACAGCTCAGACAGTAGCTGAACGGCAATGGTCTGTAGGACGCGGTGATGTGGTCTACCGACACACCCAGGTATGCCCCGCAGGTCTCCGCTTCCGTGGACTGCGGGCGGCCTACGTCTAGACAGCGAGCGATTCATAAATAACGGACTGTCCGATTACAGCGTAACGGGCTGCTGGTCGCGATGGGTGGCACCGGTGTGTGATACACGGTCACGGAGCACAGTCAGAGCTCACACGGAATGCAGTCAAAGCACACACGGAACTCGGTGGAAACCCAACGGGGCGGAACGGCAGGCCAAGTGGCCTGTCCTAAAGCAAACAGAGGAGCCGGCAGGCCGAGCCGTAATGGTTGGTAGTATTGGTACATTGGCCGATCGAAGCCATTGCCACACCCACGAGTTTATACAAGATGCATTCCTATTTTGCTTCCGCTCAGGCATTCCATCGCTACCATTCCTACCGCATTCGCAGACGACTTGGACGGCATGTTTTATTACGTCAATGCCCAGAGGTATGCCCTGATTTCATTCCGGCCACGGTGCATTGCATTCATATTTTCTTTTCGATCGTTCGAAGCCAGATCCATGGAAAACAGACAACGCATGATGTGATTTTGTCTAATGATATTGAGCCACCTAATACGTATATCTGCGAAAAAAGTTGCGAAGTGTCGGTAACGTTAAACCTATGTCCGCGCATAATTGCTTTCCACTGATTGAGCAATGCTTCTTACAGGAAGCTGTAAATGAATAACCGTAAATAATAAATAATGTAAATAAAACAAACCCTTTCGTCCAATTTCTTGCCCTGAATTTGGTGAGATAATGGCAGTGAATCAGCGCCCAGCGACCACAAAGACGCACATCAAATGCCCCGCGCACAGGAAATGCGGTTACTTAGCGACAAAAACAGAGCTAGTGTTCGGTGACGGTGAATGCACCGGTTCTTCGGATACTGTTACCCGGCCCACGTCTTCATAATTATACCGATAAAATCGAAAGTCGGGCGACGAGACTTCATTAGCAAGGCATCACATAGTCAGATAAAGTTCTAATGAGTCACGATTCACTACCTACAAAATGATTGTGCGAATCAAGCTATCTAAGAAACGTGCAAATTAGGTATCGATGCAGGGTACAAGTATGCAAAATCGTAAGATAAAAACAATTTCTATTATTCTATAATATACGAATGCATCACCTACAACGGCAAACCGATGGAATGTGACTTATACAAACCCCTAGCTGAGACACTCAAATCAGAGAAACCACTTTTTCGTGGAGTGGAGAAGAAAAATAATTCAACTTACAGCTGGCCTCGTTGTAGTAGACGTTGATCCTCTCCAGCTGCAGTTCTGAGGAGCCATTGTAGCGGCCGTCCGGTGCGATACCGTGCTCGTCAGAGATCACCTCCCAGAACTGCCGGACAGAGGTCACCAGTCAGGTCAGGTCAGGTCAGGTCAGCTACTAGCGCCCCGGTCAGGTGTGGGGTAGTAGGGTAGGGTGTCATGCCATTGAAATGTTTCACTGATCATTGATATTGAGTTCGCTGTTAAAAAAGATCCCCAAAGTAGTCAAAAATGGCAGTGAGCAAAGTGACCTTTAGCTGGGCATGCACCACACCATTCCAAAAGTCACGCCAATTGATTTGTTTAAACGTCAATCAGCGACCATCAACAGATCGTATATCCTTCACAATATGAGTCATAGAAGAGCACCAAATGGGCGACCTTGGCAAATTTCCGCTCCGTTCCCCCACTGACGCCCAAATTACCGAATTAGGGGCGCAGATCGTAGCGGCAGTCGGTTCCAAGCGGCACAAGGCCACCAGACAGGAGGGGAGCGGGTCTATGCAAATAGGACCGCCGTTTAAAGGGCATCATCACGCCATGCTGCTCGTATACTGACATCGCACTCGGTCCTTAATTTCCAGCGAAATGAGTATGATGGAATAATGTTGAGCCACATATGAAAACCTCTTGCGTCATTGTGTTTGCAACTGCCGTCTAATTTGGGCACCGTCGAGCCGTTGTCCACTGCACTTTGGCCCTCACCAGATCTAAATCTATTCACTAAAGCTCTATCATCATGCTGCATCTACTCATTAACGAAAGATGTGAAGATTTCAGCACGGAACCATGTTCCACACAGTTCATTTTGTATTCAACAAAGGTCCCCGGATTCCACTGTTACCGCATTTAGGTACAGATTTAATCACCATTAATGGGACGAAATGCCCATCGAGCCTGTCAGGAAGGCATTCCAGTCTAGACAGACATCCAGACAGCGCTACGGGATCTAACAAGGCGGGCTCAGCGTAGCGTGTTTTGCACATGCGTGACGCGCCCGTGACATGCGCGTGACTGAGTGCGTGACGGTGTGACGGGTCCGAGAGCGTCACGCTAGCGGTGAGGCTGTGGCCCACACCACCTGTGGCTGCTCGGAGCAGGCTCTCAGACACCGCCCAGCCCAGCGCCGGATCGAGATGATGGAGTCTGCACTGCTTCAGTGGTGCTTGGCTTATGACGAGAAAATATGGAATAAGGAGGCATTAGGCATTTCGTGTTTTTCCCATTTTTTTCTTTGGAATTCCGGTATCGCTTTCCAACGATACATGAGTAACAGCGAAACATTCAGATCCAGAGACCGTGGACTCCAGATCCACAGACCGTGAAGCCCAGATCCAGGCAGACCGCCGACCGCAGACCACAGACTCAGAAGACCACAGACCCAGCAGACCAAACACCCAGCAGACCACAGACCCAGCAGACCGTACCCTGCAGCGGTTCGTTCGCAGAAGACTGCTGTCGGTCCTCATCAAAGTGTGACTCATGCTTTAAACTGGATGTGTCCGCTCTGTGAATGTTGATAAACTTCCTAAGCTAGTGTGACAGCCAGACAACTCCAACAACGTACGGAATGCATGCCACCAATATGATTAGGGTAATGCGAGCTCTGCTACCAATGAATTCTAAAACCAGGATGACTCGTCATTCAGATGTTATGTGGATCAATTAAACATTTGAGATTGTTTAGTTGAAGTGAAAGTAACAAAAGAGCGAGATGTCCGTTTTTTTTGCTCGAACGCATACCCAGAAAAGAAACTAAACATATTTCATCTCCTCGTCAGTGGTCACCACGTTCGCAGAAGAATGACCTCACCAGCTGCAAGTGACGTCATCACCACGGCAGGGCGTCGGCAGCTCCCAGTGACCGGTCCGTCTCCACCCTCTCCTCCCCTACTCTACCCAATCACCCCTCCTCACCCTGTCCTCTCTCACCACGAGCCATACCGGACTCGGGCGCCCGCGCTGCCTGCATTAAACATGCCGTCATTGACGTCGGCATCGAGTGACATACCGACACGAGCCGGCGGCATGAATGCCAAAGTGGGACGGCAGAGGACAGGAATGCTCTTTTATGGTCACTGCAGCAATGCCTGAAGACATGCAGACAATTGGCTGAACGAGCGGTCCGCCCGCGCACCATCCGTCATGTCATACGGCCTAGCTGCTCTTCAGTGGATAGCTCGGAGTGGAGTCTCCCACAATTGGCAGTTGAGGGAGCGGTGAGCGGCGGACAGATGAATGTATCTATTCGACAACAGACAGGCGTATCCAGCGGGCAGCGGACGTATTCAGCGGATAGCGGAGGACTTCAGTGAATAGCGGGCGCGTTTGGCTAAAAACGGAAATTATTAGCCAGCGGGCAGACTGGTCCATCGAACGGGCCACTGAGGAATGCGAAGCCGCTTTTAGTGTCGCGGGTCACACTTCGGGACCTTCGACGACGAGCCGTTCGCACTGCATTCCAGGCGAGCAGGTCACGCCCAAAGTGCCCATTATAGGCCATTTACCGAGCTTGAAGAGCCGAACAGAATGTGATCGGATTTAAAACACCGTGGAACAGGAAACTAACGCTCGGCGTTCCATCACAAGCGAACATTATGCATCCCAGATCTATACGGACAATAAAGCACAGCGCTTTGAGCTAGGAATGCGAGTGCCATCCTTTCCTTGGACAATCGATAAATAGGTCGGGCGGAATTCCATAGCATCAGACTGCTTACGGAGGGATAGGTCAGAGGCCAAGGTCAAACGGGTATCGCTTATGACTCATGCAAGAAACACTCATACCATGCAAATGATAGGAATGGCGTAATTTTCAAAGAGGTGATTAAAATTTATGTAAACAACGTTATAGCGCAAAAGGCATACCTACACAATTTTATCCCTATAAAAAGGAATGAGTTAGTAACGAATCGTTTGTTACTTACAGAGCGAGGTGATTTTGAAACTTATATATGATATAAATGACACTGAATTAAAATTATATATCAATCATTATTAGAAGTTCAATCTCAGGTTCAGAAGGCATGGCTCACGTACTAAAACTCCCTTCCGTTCAACTGCACATCTGCTTGCCAAAACAATAAAAAACCTAGCGATCTAAAAAATAGTTTATAAGAGAGCTACAAGATCCCGAAATCGATCTGAATTTTCACTTAAAAGGTAAATATATTATGATTTAACCAGAGGCCACCCTTTTGAGAAATCGATGAAGAATTGAGAACCGCAGGTACCTGGCTTGGTCAGTTCAGATACCTTATCATAAACGTAGCGTAAAGTGATTGAATGAATAGTGTCGTGCATAAAATAACTTTTCCGTAAATGGGCAACGAACAGCTTGGAAAAATGAAAAAATGGACATCGGGCAGCATAGGAAATCCTGGGCCTTCCAACAACCGAAATGAGCAAGACAGTACCAAGACGTCTCCACAATGGCGTTCCTAACATGTGAGCTTGAAATTTCACCGGCTAGCAGGGTCTCCGGAATCCCGGCTTGCCCGGCGCCCCTGCCCCGCCCTGCCACGCCGGCACGGGCGAACCATCGTGGGGGCGCCACGGTGCGCACGGGGCGGGGCGCACGGCGCATACCTTTCGACCCGGCAACACACCATACAATCGAAACACCGACACGAGCACTGACCCGGGGCTGACTACTTAGTTTAGTTGCTTTGCAATAAACCGAACCATTCACAAAGAGGATGTTTACTTTTCCTCTATTCCCCAAAAGCTGGCAATGAATGGGTGGGGCGGGGCGCAGAGGGCGCCCGGGGTAGGCCGAGGGATCCCTTAGTTCCACGACAGCCCTTACACCGCTCCCCAGCGCCGCCGCTGGTCTTACCTTGGAGCCAATCTGGTTGCCGCACTGGCCGGCCTGGAGGTGCAGAATCTCCCGCATGTTTGCTAGTGTGTGTGTGCGTAGACCGCCGTCCCTCGACCTCCTCGCGCCAACCCCGTCTCTCGTCTGTCAGCCGCCGCCCGCGACCCGGCACCAGTATGCTCGGTACCACCTGTGACGTCACGGCCGGGGCGCGCGCTGATTGGTCGTCGGCTGAGGTCACACCCGGCACTGTTCGTCCATATTTGGCTGAACACCGATGACGTGGCGAATGTAGTTAAATACCCGGTCCGTGCCCGGTTTGGTGAGGGTGACCGGAGCTCGAGCTGGCGACTGATCGAGGGCTGCGAAACAGTCGTGTTATGTGTGGGTTTTCTCCAGGTTTGGAGAGGACACGCCGCCTTTTTGACAGGTGGGGGCGACGGGTTCTGCTCAGCACCGCAAGAAAACATGAATCCGCACCGCTGTTCGCGCCTCACTAATCCGATTCAGGCGTCGCCTCGTCTAACGACAAGAATTGGATGTTTTAAAATAAATAGCTAGGGGACACCATTTCTCAAAGTACTGATCGCTATGAGAAGCATCATAAGTCCCCCAGCTGCATCCCTATCGTCGAGGAGCGGCCGATGACCACAGGTGTCCAACCAATGCCACCCCCACCTGCCGCAGCCACCACCGCCGCCGCCCACGGTCGCCGCCGCCCCGGTCCGGTGAAGGCCTGTCCCTCCAGCGCCGCCCCCTCTCTCCGAAGACACAGGGACGCGAGTGGTCCCCCCTTCCCTGCTCTTTCCCGTTCCTGTGACCCTGACCCTCTACCCAGGTCCTGTAGGCAGCGGTGGCCGTCACTAAGCCATATAAGGCACCTAACTAAAACGGTATACTAGCGGGCACGTAGTAAAAGTGCATTGTTTGTTCGGCTTGTGATGGAGGCGATATTTATAGCCAAAACAAATGTCATCGGTGGCTTTGTACGTTTGCTGCTCATTTGTTTCCTTCAATAGCTCATAACTCGTCCATAGCCGGACCGATGTTCTTTTAATGAAGTATGCCTTACAAGATATCTCAATAACAATTCAGCTCGACATTTTCTCATAAATCCAGCCATGCTCTTGTAAGAATAATATTATTCTTCTTCATATGATATTATTCTAGTTCATATGAACTAATCTAGCTGTAGAGTGAACACCAAATCCCAATTGCAGCTACTAGTTACATTTACGTTAACTAATTGTCATCTATCTAGCATCTGCAACGTTTGATAGCATTCCAGGTCAAGTAGGTATATTATAAATTGTTAATGTCGGATGCTGTTTTTGAAGGTGAATACTTTCCTTCACCGCTATCATTAATATCTTTTCTGGCTTTCGTGCTGCTTTTTTGCGCCGCTAGCTATACTATAACCCTACACTCAAACGTATGGTACAATTAGAAATATTTGGCTACATCGGATACCTCTCAGTTTCCTGAATTTACTCCTATCATCTGACTAACTGGATCTGACTTTTTTATCTTCTTCGATAGTTTAATACGATCTAGCTACCGTCTGTCTAATTCCATATGATGCACCAGTCCCTATTTGTAGAGGTAAGCCCATTCTTATATTCTTGTCATTCAGCCATGTTTGATGTTGGAGTCTTGCATAAACCTCCTAAATAGCTTGCGGGTCCGGCTAGCGATTGCAGGCGGCCGCGACATTCCTGCTGTACTTAAATACATCCACCGCCTGACGGTCTGTTCGTCAAAGGGATGGATCATCCGCTCTGGAGCGCTGCTGATGGGCGGAGTGCCTCGGCTGCACGAGAGACAGTGGGGAGGTAGGTATATAGGGCCTTGGAGAGACAAGCGACTAGCGAGACAGGTGAAACGGGATCAGAGAGAGAACACATAGGACCATGTCAGATCAGAGTCATCAGTGAAACTGGACAAGACCAGAGAGACCACACAGACTAGATAGACGAGGTAGACCAGGACAGACACGCAGACTGGGCCAGAGCAAGTCATTAGTCAGCCCAGTTGCATTCTAGAACCAGTATAGCGCCTTATGGGGCGACTAACGGAGCGAGCGAGAGGGTGGGCCTTGCACGTGCGAAATTGCGAGGGGGTACCTCCAACTGACTTGTGCACGGCACCCTACTAACCGGTCTCTAGCGATGTGCCGAATTTGAGCACAATCGGCCCAGCCGTTCTCGAGATCTGGAAGCGGCACTCTGCACGTGCGCACGTGCAAAATGGGTCCCAACTGACTTGTGCACGGCACCCTACTAACTGCTCCGTAACCGTGTACCAAATTTGAGCGCAATCGGTCCAGCCGTTCTCGAGATCTGGAATCGACCCCTGCACGTGCGCACGTGCAGCAGCACCCCAACTCTGGCACATGGATATGCATTGCCTAGTGGGTGCCTACCTACATGCCAACTTTCAGCGCAATCGGCCAAGTAGTTACCGAGATATTGCAACAATTACAAAAGTGACACCTCTTCGTTTTGCACGTGGCACGTGCATAAGGGCTCACCTACATGCATCGGGAATAGTCCAATACTTGGTAGAAGGAATGAAGCTACCCTACAAAAATTACCGCGTGTAAATCGGTCAAGTGGTTGCTGAGATATAAGCGTCGCAAAACCGTGACCACGGCCGGCCGGCCGCTCATACTCAGAAATTTCCGTTAATCTAAAGAAAAGAAGAATCTAAAGAAAAGACTCCGCTCGCTTCGCTCGCTCCGTAATAAACCAAACCGACTTAACGGTCAGGAAGGAGAGACCGAGCCAAACCAGACAGATATATATATATATATATATATATATATATATCATAAAACACACAAACGCGAATAAGATCATAAAAACACAAACAAAGCTTTCGAAATGTGAAAGTGCTATTACGTTTAATGGTCTTTGTCTAAAAGAATATATATATATATATATATATATATATATATATATATATATATATATATATATATATATATATATATATATATATATATATATATATATATATCAGACCTGGCTAGCTCAGACCAGACCACCCTCAGACCAGCGAACTCCAGACAAGACGATATGCCAGGATAGAAAGAGGCGCTGTGTGCTGACATGCGGCCTCGCCCATCCATCCCACCTGTATCCAGCCTTCTGTGACCAACTGCATCGTCCGTGAAGCCCGCAGTGCGACGGGCTGCTACCGAACTGCATGGGCCGCGACCCATGGCAACGCCTGATAAGCGTGCCAGCGTCTGAGAGAGCCAGGGGTGGCGTGCCCGACCCAGCGGCTTCCACAGCAGAGCACGGCGGCTCAGTGAAGGCTATGTTGACGTCAAAAAGAGATGAACAATCGTGTTCGCACGCTATTGCCTAGTCCTTATTTAGCTGGATTTTTACATTTGTGCCCGTTCGTCAGTTTACACACGACCAAGTATTAATCTTCATGAGCTCAGGCCCACCCAAATCCCAAAATGAATTATCATCGCCTAAACTGAACCTCCGATATACGTTCGCGGGCGGTTCGCCGTCGAACTATAACGAGTCCACTGGCCCGACCCTATCATTATGCTTATGAACGAACTTTGCTGTGATGGTGTGTGTAAATCACTACATCGAAGCTAAGTCATTTATATTTATAATGAACTGAAAATACGGACACCTTCGCCATCGATATGTGCATTACCAAGTGCACCAAACCAAAGAAATCCAAAGGGCAAAGGGGCGGCTGACATAGCTCTTGTAAGCTTGCGTGAGGTGAGACGTGAGACATTTGGACCATTAAAAACTTAAATTTTCCAAAGGTCCCACGTCTATATATGTATGAAAGGTGGGAACTTAATTTAAAATTCCCGCCTTTTACGATATTTGAGAATCAATCCTTGTATATTACCCTTGATTCCCTTGGCAAAAACGCCGCTCTAAGATTGAGCCGTGGCTATACCTAATGACAAACGCAAAATAATCATTCCAATGCCTTTCATTCATCCATCAGCAAGCTTGTCAATCACGCCTCTAACTTCCGGAGAGGCGGTTAACACAGCAGGTGCCTATAAAAGTGCCACGGCTGCAGTCGAGGCAGCCGTTGCACGGTCTGGTTATCTACGAATCACAGTGAGTTCCACCCCGTCAGCACGCTACTCCACCCCCGTCAGCACCCCACTCCTCCCCGTCAGCGGATCGACCACCGCCCAGTCAGTGAGCAGACTGCGGAGCGACCGCCGCCCTCCGGCCGTAGCACCCGCCCTCTCCCTCGCCCCTCTCTATGCTCTGACGGGATACTCTCGCCCTCTCTCCCTCTCCAGTCTCTTCCTCAGTCTTCTGCCGGCTGACTCAACTCTTGACCTCTCATATCTCATCCTCCCCTGTACTCTCTCTCTCTCTCTCTCTCTCTCTCTCTCTCTCTCTCTCTCTCTCTCTCTCTCTCTCTCTCTCTCTCTCTCTCTCTCTCTCTCTCTCTCTCTCTCTCTCTCTCTCTCTCTCTCTCTCTCTCTCTCTCTCTCTCTCTCTCTCTCTCTCTCTCTCTCTCTCTCTCTCTCTCTCTCTCTCTCTCTCTCTCTCTCTCTCTCTCTCTCTCCTCAGTAGTCTGACCCCACCTCCTCCGTGCGTGGTCTCCGGCTGGGCAGCTTATCCTTCCATCACTGCAGCCCCGCCCGGCCTGTCCTCGCCCTCTCCCCTCTGTCCAGTGACTAGTCTGACCCCATGGGCCGCCTTTCTAGGCCCGCAGTATACGTCCAGCCACCGCCCCAGTATCGCCGGCTCCAAACCCTCCGCCTTCGCCGCCGCCTCCCCGCCTGGCAACTGATGACGTCACAGAACCGGTAGCGCGCTGCCAGACGGACGATGCCGTGTGGATGCAGTCACACCTGGCGAAAAACACCGTCACAAATGGCTGCACAAACATGTGTACGGGATGTGATTGCAGAAGTGTGGTTTTGTAGCTCGATTGAGAAATATGATTGTTGGTGTTTATTTTAGGCGGCTGCGGTCCGGCCCAGCTGGGACTGGGAGGAGAATTCATGCTGGGACCAAGATGTGTATGAAATGACGTCACTCCCATAACCGGCATTGGACGTGGGAGACGGCTGCCTTACGCGGCATGGTCCTTTATGGGTCGTGCATGTCCGCTTCACGGGACGTGACAGCTGGCGTGTTTTGAAAGTTGTGGTGGGCTCAGT